CCTCTCATTGTTTTTCAGCTTTGAATTGACATCTATCTCCCACTTTCTAGGGGAGCAGAGCTGCAGTCATTTACAGCGCTGTGTGTTCAGGTCGTGCTGGAGGTAGACATCTCCCCTGGGATTGCTGCATTCACTCTGTCCCCTTCTCCCTGCATTACTATCATGCCTCATGTACATTTTTACTTGCTTCTTTGGTGGGCATCCATCTAATTAATCTTCACCTGGCTTCTTACCTGTGAGACATGATATCTTCCTTAATTTCCCAGGACAGCTACAAGAATTACAAACCTTATTGTTCCAGGGCTTTGTAATACAGTTTAAACCTTCAAGGTTGCCTGCCCTTTGGGCAAGGGCTGCCTCACTGTTGTCACTGCTGCTCATGGCTGAGCAGAACTAGCTCGTTCTGAGTTTAATGTACCCATCGTCTGCTGTTGTCATCGGAGACTGTGTCCCATGAAGGGTACCTGTGAAGCCTTCCTTTGCATATAAAATCACAGAATCATTAAGGTTGGAAAAGACCTCTAAGGTCATCAAATCCAACCATTAACCTTACGCTGCCAGTCCTGCCAATAAACCATGTCCCCATGCCCTGCTCTTCTTGGAGAAATGGATTCAAAATCCCATGGAATCAAGGCATTAGTAGAGTTTTGCATTAAAACAGTGGTAAATGAGAATGTCTTAGCAGCTGCACTGTTTTATCTAGTTGCTCTGGTCTCTATAAATGGCACTGCTTTAGACTCAAAATTGTAATGGATGAAACTGGGGCCAAGCTATAGTGGTCTGAAATTCTCCAAATGACCAGAAAAGCCTTTCTTAGATGAAAATGAGAAATTTCAAGTGTATCTAATACAGGACAAGAAAAAAGCAAATCTAAGGTGACTGTAAAATGCCTTGTGCTCTTCTGGTTTGGCCAGTGGTCCTGATTAGTCCTTACTCCAACAGTCCTCATTATAGAGAAGGAGTGATTGCAGAAATGGGTCTGTGCAGCTGGCAGGTGTAGAGTCTGTGCAACCTCATTACCTCCGTGCTCCTTGTATTGAGCCCATTTTCATCCACAGCACAGGCTCTCCTCTCACCTATAGGCACGGAGGCTGTGCTGCGCTGAACACCTTCCACTCAATTATTTAAAATTCAGTTGCTATGGATCTACTCAAGGCGATCAGTTTAAAGAAAATGCAGATGGCCTCTGGTTTTGAGTTCCCACTGCGCTTTGGTTAATTTGGTATGTAAAGGTATTAGGTTAATTAAATGCCATGTGTTGCATGGGGACTGACTGCATTTGTGGATTAATAAGTATCCCAGAGTGTTCCTGTGCTGAAAGTCCTCAAGCTGGCAGACGGTTATTTCACTAAGAAAGGAAGGTAACGGAGAGGAGTCCTGGGGAAATGAAGAAGTTTCCTGTTAATCCTGCAGTTGTTTTTCCTGAACGGGTAGTTGCAGTGTCCTTCAGATTCTTGACCGAGAATCAGCCCTTGCTGGAGAGACTGGAAGAATTTAAGTGAAGAGGAGCAGAGTTGTACAGTTTGCTTTGAGATTCCCACAGGGCTGGTCACATACAGTGAGCATGTCAGCTGGCCAGGGGAGGACCATGGCTGGTGCGTGGAAATTTTCCTGCTAGGAGAAGACCTTTACCAAGAGCCATATTGTGAATCAGGTCAGAGGGTGTCCTGTGAGCAGCAGGCATGGTCGCGCCCCAGGGCTAGCGCAAACCGGCCACCGCATTCGGGCATTCATGGTGGAGTGCACGTAGAAAGCAGGGAGAGGGACAAATACCACCACAAAGTTTTGGAGATGCTGAAGAAGAAGAAAGTCGTTTTCATGCAGCCATGCCCTGAGGTGGTGGAAGATCAGGAGAGAGACCAGGGCAGATGGACACTGCTTCGCAATGTCAACCAGGTCCTGAAGCCCACGACCATGTTAGCGGTAAGAGAGGGGGTCCCAAGCCCTGAGCATGGCTGGAAACTTTCCGGCTGCTTTGAAATCTGTCTTGCTGTTGATGGGATCCTTGTACTGCTTACGCCAGCTTCTCTCACCTTCCCCCTTTGTCCCCCCCACTAAGCACTGTAGCTCCCCTGCAGTGCAACCTTCTTGCTCTTCACATTTGGAAGCTCCTCCTAAAGATCCTCTCCGTGAATTGTGTGGATCCTTGTGTGGTGTTTCCTCCTCTTCCAAAACTGCTTGGTTGTCACTGCCCTGTTTGTGAGGTCCTGAGGGTCTGCCCCAGAGCAATTTGGAAGATTTTTCTAGTTTGGAAGGGTATTAAAAGCCACTGGTTGCATTGAGGAGGAAGAGGCAGACCAGGTTGATACCCTAAAGGGTCTGGTGGCATTCTCACTTCTCCAGTACTCTGTCATGTATTTTGGGAAATAAACTGCACCAGTGTAGGCACGAGGCAGGTTATGCAACTTACAAGCCACAGCTGGTAAATGCATGAATCACCCTGATTTGCTCTGAAATCCCCAATACATCTGCTGGGTTTGGGGCTGATCCGAGGGTGATTGCTTCAGCAGAAGGAATGTAACTCACTTCCATGGGGTTTATATGAAATTGATTGAAGTCAGGAAAGGAAATGGGTTGGCACTCTTAATAAGTGATGTTATTTTATAACTCCCTTGACCTTCCTGAGCTTACCAGCTTAGCCCATCCCATAAGACTTTTTTCACCAGTATTAAGAACTGCACTTTAATGGGTTTAAAAAGAGCAGTTTGAGGGGATGAGCACTATGTGCATTAGGCAGACAAAGCACAGAAGTTGTCTTAGTGGTAGCAGAGTATCAATTTACCTTGGGGAGGGCAGACTGCCTTTTATCTCAGCTGTGTGGTAATACACCATATGAAGCAGGCTGCTTTTACAGCTATTCAATATTAGAGATTTTTTTTTTTTAAATGGCACTACAATTCTTGTATTTTTGATCAAGTGCAATTTTTACAGAGCTGCTAAGGTGTTGGAAAGGTTTTCTGCTGAGCAGGAACTGAGCAACGTGGCTCATCTCTTGCTGACACCTTGATCAGGTTACCCACCGTGTGCATGAATTTGCCCAGTGATGCAGAGAGGATAACAGTGCTGAATGTTCTGAAATGCTTTGAGAGTCTTGGATCAAAGGAGCTAAAAAATAAATATTAATATAATTGGATTTATAATGTATCTGTTCCTGACACTGCTTTCATTAGTTGTGATTTTTTTTGCCTTTTTAACTAAGTTATGACATGTAAGGATAAAACAGTTAATGAGAAAAATGTATTAATACTATATTTTTATGAGCTGGATAAAGATACTTAGAGCTGTAGCACAACCCTCTGAGGAAATGAAAACCCAAGCTGAGGACTGGATCCTGAGCTCCATGAAAGCAGTTTGACTTTGTTGATATCCTAGTGGAAACCTAGCAAGCAGCTGCCAAGGGTAAAGTCTGCCACAGAATGGTTGAGAATTCCTGGTGTGTAGTTTCTTCATGTGTGGATCCCTGAGTGTAACCTTACATCCTGGTGGTACTCACAGGTTTGTGTCTCTTGGAAGTCTTAATGGATGACTTGGATGGTGACATCTCCAGTTGCCTCTGCCCAGCACAGAGACGAACATTGTTTAGCAGCTGTTGGGCCAAACCAAATTTATAAATATGCTCTGTCCACAGAAATGGTTGATAGTGGATACTCAGGAAGGGGGTTATATCAGAGCACATGCAAAGTGATACATCCTAGTTTTCCCTTCTCCCTCTCCCAGCAGTTTTTCAGGACTTCAAAAGGTAGATACCACATTTGCATCATGCTTAATAGGTGCAAGTGGAGCTGGTCCCCAAGAATGTGGTGTTAGCTGGGGCTACAAGTCCACAGCATTAATCTCAGGTGCATGAATGAAAACTCACCTGACAACTAGATTGCTCCCCATTTTAATACCCTTTCATCTTACAAAAAAGGGTGGGAAATAATTCTGCTTTGTTCCAGCATGGGTCCTGCTTGGGGCTTTAGTTTGGAGTTATTTTGGAGTTTGCTTTTGTATTGAGGAAAACAGCTTCTTTAAAAGCTTTTTTGCATTTGAGTAATTTAATATCCACAGAGCTGATTAGCAGATAGTCCCTGCCCAGCAGGACTGACAGAGGTGTATAGGATCAGTAGTGACATGAAGTGAATGGGTAGGGGTCAACTGCATGCTGTGTCTTTCAAAATGAAAACACAGAGGTCTGAAATGAAAGAGGTAAAACATTTGAAACATGTAAAAAGACACAGCCTTTTGGGATTATGGATGCTAAAACTTTGCACAGCTTCAGGACTCAAGTGAAAGTGCTCACAGCAGATAAAATCCACTGAGAAGTATTAAATACAAACAGGCCACCTACACATTGCTGTAGCTGTGAGAACTCCTGAAGAACTGCAAATATCTGCCTCTCTGTTTATGTTCTTAACCCATCTTTAGTCATTCCCTTTTCAGCAGTCTCCAAGGAATATTTGATAGTGGTTCTCTGCAAGGAAGAAAGGTGCCACAACCCTCCAGATAAGGCTTAGCAGAGCTCAGAACCATCTTCTAAATGTGACTTCCTAAGTTTGTACATTACACAGAGGGAAACCTCTACCTGGGAAGGTTTTTCTGCCTGGATCACTGTTCTATAACCATTCTGTGACCAGCAACCAATCATGAGCTTGAGAAGCAGAGAGTTAGGGCAGTGGGACAGCACAGAGTTAGGTCCATATGCTGTGTGGACCATGCTCTGCTGCTGGCACCTTGCAGGCGATTTCACAGATTCATGGAATCATTAAGGTTGGAAAAGATTTGTAAGATCTTTGAGCCCAACCATTTACCCAGCCAGCAGTGTGTTCACCACTAAACCACATCCCCAAGTGCCACATGCAAAGCATCTGCTGTCCTGAGCCTCTGTGGAAAGGGGTGGTTTGTGGTTTGCCAGGGAAGTCATTTGACTTGTGCTAATGACTTGGCTACAAAACGTCAACTGCTTGTATCCCAAGGGATGCTGAACTCCCTGCAGCACTGAGTGTAACTGCTTTCTTTGGTTCCAGGGGGATTATGTGTGGATGGACCTCAAAACCGGACGGGAATTCGACGTTCCCATTGGAGCGGTGGTTAAGCTGTGTGACTCCGGACAGATCCAGGTCGTGGATGATGAAGGCAATGTATGTAAAAAGGCTTGTGATGTCCCTTCTTCAGCTCTACGGCCTTGCTAGGCCAGGGGTCCCAGGGCCATGATAATCAACTTTGTTATGGCCTTCCTGTATGTCCTTGGGAATCAATGTGCTGTAGTTTTCTATTTGTAAAGACAAGACAATGTTGTGTCCCTGTTTTCTTGGCTGTCCTGGGAGTGCAAAATTGAGAACCTTCTTGAGAACAGTGATAGCAGAAGCTCTCAAAATACATTTAGGTAGTTTTTTTAGCAAACCCACCTACACCTGAGGTTCCTCTGTTGTTATCCAGTCCTTCCTGACCTCCTACCAATACCTGATGTGCCAAAACACTGGTTCTCCTTCAATTTCCCACCTCTGTTTTTGTGCAGTGGCAGCTATTTTAGAGTAAGGTCTGTATCAAGGTGTTCTCTGTGCTTCTTTTTTTTTCTTTTTTTCTTGAGGTAATTCTAAATGCTTTCACTCCCTTCAAGGGTAATAGAGATTTGGTTTGGCAAGGTCCTTGTGGGCAATATGCAGTGGCTTTTGAAGCCCTTAAAAGTGCTGAGTCCAAATAACACTGCCTATAAAAGTATAACTTTGCCAGCCCTGTCCATCCCCTTCTCCTTTTCTAAATCATCTCTTTCTGCTCAACAGTATTTTGTGGGAGAGGGTTAACCAGTGATGTGAAAATGCAGTGGTGAAGGGGAATACAAATGTGCTATTTGTTATAGACTCCCTGATGTTCTGGATGACCATGTTGCCCTGGAGGAGGCTCCTGCCAGGATGGCTTGTGTCTCCTGTCTCTTCTTGCTCCAATAAAACTCCAATAAAAAGATGTTTTCCTTCTTCTGTTACAAATCTTTTAAATTCATCACTGCCTTGCTCCAGGAATAGAAGCTGTGGCACATGTGCCAGTGATCTCTTGTGTATGTCCTTCCGTCTGATCCTTCTCTTTGGGGTGGGCTGTTTGTGTCTTTCATCCAAATGGTCTCTCATTTGACTTACCTTTCTGTGGCCTTGCTCTTTTCCCAGGAGCACTGGATTTCCCCACAGAATGCCAGCCACATCAAACCCATGCACCCCACCTCCATCCATGGAGTGGAGGACATGATCCGCCTGGGGGACCTGAACGAGGCAGGAATTCTCAGGAACCTGCTGATTCGCTATCGGGAGCACCTCATCTATGTGAGTGTCCACCTCACCTCACCTCTGGTTCTGCACTCCACCCCCTGCTTTCCTTAGCTCTGGGGAACCCATGTCGGGGGAGCCCTGACTGAACTGAGCATCTGGGTTTCTACCTTCACCTTGTCCCTGGTGGTGAAGGGCTTCTGACTTTGGAGGACATTGCAGAGCTTCTAGATGCCCCAGTGAAAGACCCCATGAGTTAGGTGATGGGTAAAGTCAACACCACCTTCCTGTCCTGCCCCTGTAGAAGTTTTGGGCATGTGCATTAGCTTTCTGCACACAGAGTAACCCTGTGTAACAGTTCAAGCCGGGCCATGAGCATACTGTAGTCATCCTAAAGCAAAAACTTCTGTAGAGGTGTAAACTATGTGCTGAATGTGACCCTTCTGCCCTTTTGCCCTGGACTATTAATTTATTTAACCCTATGGGCTGAAGACAACTATTGCTGGAGGTGGAAGGGGTGGAGAAAGGATGATGAGAGGCATGCATGAAATAACTGGGAATAAAGAAGTAAGCAACTTCCAGAACAGCTCTAAAAAACCTTTCCAGTCTGTGTTCATGGCTTATTAGCCCTGGGTTGCCTAGGATCCTGGCAGTTGATCTCTGAGGACAGCAGTGTCCTTCCTTAGGTCATCTCAGTCATGTCATGCCCAGTGGACCCAGTGCAGCCTTGCCAATCCAAACAGACATTCACAGATTGAGGGGTTTACAGGGAGCCAGTGAGGGCTGCATCTCTCTTCTGTGTGACAGCATCCCAAAGGCCACCTCCCCAGCAGGACAGGAGTCAGCATTCAAGTCTCTGTGCTAACTTTATCAGTGTTCTCTATGCTGTGTAGTTTTCTGCAAACTCTTCAGACAGAAATTCAGAGTGCACATGTGTTTGTTACTAGATAATTTACTCAAACAGCCTCTGCAAATATGGAAAATTTGGTATTACTCTTAAATCCTACAGTTTTCAGATGTTCAGGTAAGTACTTGCTGTGCCTTTGAAGGCCTTTTCAAAGCCTCCTGGTCATTTGATTTTTAAAAGGCTCTAGAGACTACTAGATTTTTGGACTGGAGGGAATTGCAAGACAGTCAGACTTCACGGATAAAATAAGCTGACAGAGTATAGGTGGGATTTTATTTGTCAAGTCCGTTTGTTCATCACTGCTTGATGTCCAGTGCTTTTTGATCGGATGATTTTGGATTAGGGCTGGGCAGTGATGGAGCAGACACCACTCTGCTGCACAGGCTGTTAATATGATTGACAGCTCCTTGCCCCTCTCTGGGAGAGATCCATCTCTTCTTTCAGAGATGGAGTACAATCCTGGAGGAAGGGGACATGGGTGCTGAAAAGGCACCCATAATTCCCCAAAGCCTGGGGGAGAACAGAGACCTCCAAATGCATCTCTCCCTCAGACACTTCATTTGTTGTGCATGATGCCTAAGGCCCTATAGTCAGTTTAGACAAAAATAGTATAATCAGAAAATTATTCCCACATTAGATGAACTAGGTTTCTCCCTTTGTAATCAAATTTTCTTGCCATTTATAATGATAAATTAGCAAGTTAATAGCCCAAATTCATACTTGGGGTGGTCTCTCCATGGGCATCCATGGCAGTCACCAGAGGTGTCAGTAGAGCCAGCAGAGACAAGACTGCCTTTCAGTCATGCAAACAGAAGTGCCTCTCAGATGCTTTAGAGCTGACTGGAGTTTGGATATCATAGAGGAGTTTATGTTGGAAGAAAATTTTAGGCTGGAGGTCTATAGTCCAACCTCCCCCAGCTCACAGCGCATCTGTCTTCAAGGTTAGGTGCAGCACTCACGTGAATAACTGAATTCAAACAACCTGAATGCCACCCAAGAAGTACAGATGGCCAATAATTTGTAGCTGATTGGCTCATTCAAGGAACTTGAATTTACCTATTGAGCATTGCCCATTTTTCCCCTGCTTGTGGGCACCCTGAAATGGCACAAAGTGTATTTCTGCCACTCTCTCTGAGAAAGTTTGGATCATGTTGGGTATTTTTCAGTGGCATCCATGTGTCTCTTTTGGGGTGTCTGTATTATCCAGCAAGTGCCTGTTGCCTCTCCAAGTGACCTGAGGTCCTTGGATAGAATTCTGTGTGTACAGTATCATCAGATTGCCTGTGAATACACCAAGCTCCTTCGAAAAAGCTCTGTCTCTGAGCTCCCTTGCCAAGCTATGCACAGGCATCCAGGAAGATTAGGAACACAAACAAGCACTGTGCAAAGTGTTGTTTGGCAACATCATCCTAATAAGGGCTGATGTAAAGGGCAGCTTTCAGCCTGGAGGTGAGTGTGGGTGGTGATTTGGGCTGAAGTGACAAAATAGCCACATCAGTTTCTCTACAAGTTCTTCTGGTCCGATGGTGACAGTGCAGTGCAGTGTGTCCTACAGAGTTCCTGCCTGAGGGATGGCCACATCCCACAAGGACATTTGCATCACAGAGGTTCCAGGTTACCGTGTCTTGATTGCTCCACATCACTAATGGCTTTGGAGTGCCAACCCAGGAACTGGGCACAGCACAGCAATTAGAGCCATCTCAAAATCAGAATTACACTCTCAAAATGACAGAGAGTGCATAGCTTGATAGAGAGGTATGCACACCACTTCTGTCTACAGGTGTGTAGTTGGAGGCTCAGGAGCCCAACCTTAGATCTCAGCTATTAGGAGTGATGGCACTAGGAGGAGTAGATTTGTGTCGGATGTGGTAAATATTGATGACAGTTTTGCAAAACCAAGGTACCATATGGATGCCATGTGTGCAGGGGATACCCAGCCCACTGAGGTGGTTTTTTTTCTGTGGTATAATTAACACTGTCTTAAAGACAGAGGTGGGTTTTTTTCTATGGTATAATTAGCGCTGTCTTAAAGACAGTGAAGTTTCACTGCTTGAAAGGATTTCTGAGCCTGCTGAGTAAATGATTACTTTTCCAATGGGACTGCAGTTCCTCTTGTTTCCTTGTGTCCTTAGCTTTGTGGAGGATCTAGTTCTGCTCTAATAAAATATAATTTCCCTTTTTCTTCTCCCTCACATTTTATTCATAAGACAAACTGCGGTGGGAGGGTAAGTATGACTCTTGGCAACGTCATTTGCAATTGCTGTCATGCCTTCCACTGGATCACCTTTTTCTGTTCACCATTTACTTTGCACCACCATTGCTGCTGCTTCATAAATGCATGGAGAGCATCCATCTGCTTTGGTGCAGAGCTTGACCCACATGGTGAAGTTGTGACACAGAGATGGAAAGCCCCCAACCTGTGAATGTGGTTAAAGCTTTAAGTTCTTCTCAGTAATGACCTTAACTTGAAGGGAAGAAATGTCTGCAGCAAAATATGAAAAACTTCAACAAGGGCTTCTTGTCCTTAGTTTCGCTTGAACACAGCAAGAGAAACTACACTGAATAGCAAGAGAGTCTGGTGGGGAGTTTTGACTTGTGAGTAAGGTTAAATCTCTTTATCTAAAGATGAAACCAGTGCCTGCTGTGCTCTCTAAGGGCTGCCAAATGGCAGTAATGTTTGGTAGAGCTTTAACCCCATAACAATCCAGATGAAGTCAGCCATGGTGTTCTGGGTAGTGAGGGAAGCAGGCTCAGAAAGGATTTGTTTGGGGCTAATTAAAATGTAGGTCATGCAGGCAGTAATGAATTTGCTGTGAGATGCAGTTCCTGTGGTCAGCTACAGCAGAGTCCCTGCTCTCAGTAAAGCTTTATTTTTCCAATAGAAAAGGGCTTTGACATCACCCAGCAATAGAAACCAGTAAGCTACTATTTCCTTGGAAGTGGCCTTTGGCCCCTGATCAACAGAGTGAACAAAGTTTTGCCTTCTGTCAGCTGTGAGAATTGGGCAAATTGTGATTATTTATCAACTAGGAATGAGCTACAAAAACAAGCAATAGTACAAGAGTTCATGCTGACAAAGGGTTTTGTGGATCACAAGGGAAGGGTCAGTGGGAGCATCCAGAAAGAATACCTAATGGTTAACACCTTTAAAAGCCTCTCTGTTTACATTTGTGGCAGGGCAGACCAGTCTGACTGAAATGCTGGGATTTCAGAGACCTCTGCAAGGAGTTACATTTTTTTTTTTAAAAGCTCAAGGAAGATTAAAAATGTCCCTAAAATTAATGTTCCTAAAAATGTCCCTAAAAATGTCCCCTGGTGATAAATTGTAAAGAGGAAATTAATGAAATAATGAAGACTCAAAGGAGTCTTCATTAGGGATCTTGCTGTCATAATGCCATTCAGAAATTGAGCTCCCTCCTCCTCTGAGCACTGAGGTTACCTGTTCTGTCCCCTTTGAAGGCTTCTCTGGAGGGATATCTCTGCTCCCTTTTTTCAATGCCTTCTTTTTCTAAAATCCAGTCTACATGATTTCACAGCCAATTTCTACCCTTTGGAGTTGTGACAACATTGTTCTGAAGCTCAAAGAGCTTTTTTCCCCTACTGGCACATAATCCCCTGTTACAGAGAAGAGTATTGTGTCCTTTCTCAGTTAGCACTGTAAAGTCAAACCTCATATGGGACTGAACTGAAAGTTGCTCTCTTGTGTTGGCCATGAGAGTAGAAGGTGAGGAACCCCTAATGGCTTTCATCCTCCCTACGATGGGACACAATTGCCACCTACTGGCTGCCTTCAGGAAGCCTGAACTGGTGGCAAGTTTTGGACAGATGGTGGCAAATTATTTCTTCTCCCTCACAAGCATCCTTGGCTGTGCCACTTTTCTGCTTTGTGCCGAAGCCTTACTGGGTTTAGGCCATGCAGATGAAAATCCATAAGGATTATATGAATGTTGAAGTTGCTTATTTTGTTTCCTGAAAAAATATATGCAGTAGTGGGGGAACTTTTACAGCTGGTTCCAGCAAGAAGGAAAGCTAATATTAATCTTGTAACTTCAGTTGCTAAAAATTAACCTAGAGAAAGTGACTTGAATTCTTTGAAGTCACAGAGTGAAAGTAGCCTTCATCTCATGCCCCTCGGCTAACTCAAGGTGGAGGCCCATTGACTCACCTCCTCTAGACACTGACTTTTAAACAGATGAAACAGGGGAAGGAGATCCTTATTCTCTGCCTTGAGGTTGGGATGTGGCCAAACCTCCTAACCTCAGCACTACATCTGAGCAAGATAACAAAGTTCATGAGTCCTTTGATGAGAGGCTTGAGAGAAACAGCTTCTGGAAGGGCAGAAATGAAAGAGCAAGATACTACAGAGGAGTTTGCTACCCAAGGCCCAGGACAGCTGGACCAAAGGCCATTTACAAAATTTCAGAAATAGATGAGAAGGGATATGTCAGGACTTTGTGGGCAATATCCATCTCCACAGGACCCGGTTTAAACTGAAGTATGGAGACATTTGTTTAGGCAGAGATGGTAGAGAAGAATGCATTGCAGAGGGAAGTTTAGCAGCTGCTGTGGATTGATAAAAACAGGTTAGATAGTCATCTCTCAGAATGGTTTAGGTCCAACTGGTCCTGCCTTGAGATATGGGAATGGTTGTCAGGTTTCTTTCACCTATGGTTTCTTATTGTATGTGCAATGCAGTAGAAATGTATGAATATATGCTGGCTCTGGTGATATTTTTGCAAATAATGAACTTCTCTTAAGAGTCTGAATCTTAACCAAGAGCATACAAAATATGAATTAAGGCTTGAAACCATGCTGTGCATGAGCAAGGCTGAATATTAGGTACTTTGGGACTTCTGTTCCCAGTTTACCCCTGGCTCTCCCTGCAAGCATCTCTGACTTGAGCATCATCTTTCATCCAGCTTTTAAAAAGCCTTGATTTTTCTGGCCTCCATCCACATCCCATCCAAGCTGCTAAAGTCTCTCAGCTACACCTCACTGTCCCCATAAACCCTCATGTGCTTCTCCCCCAGACATACACTGGTTCAATACTGGTGGCAGTAAACCCCTACCAGCTCCTACCCATCTACTCACCCGAGCAGATACGCCTCTACACCAACAAAAAGATTGGTGAGATGCCACCACACATCTTCGCAATTGCTGACAACTGCTACTTCAACATGCAGCGCAACAACAAGGACCAGTGCTGTATCATAAGGTGAGTTGCTGAGTTTCCAAATGGGCCACATCCTGAAAGCAGATGCTGAGCAGATGCAACATGCTTGATTTGGAACAGCCTGAATGACTGATTAGATCTTCCATTCACATATTCCCAGTGCAGAGGAGGTCTCTGTTTGCAGTCAGTCTGTTCCTTGTAGAGGTGCTTTATCAATACTTTGGTATTTTACCCTTGCAACTCAATAGATCTCATATTCATTTTAACCTCCACTTTTCAATTTAAGCTCAATACTCCTACAGACATCAAAAACGCAAACATGGATACTTTCTGCACAAGGGAGGGTCAGGGACAAGCTTGGTCACTGGACCTGTGGTCATTCACGCTCCTGAATGGTGTCTCCATGCATGGCTCAGCTCTGGACCGATCAACCTTGGGCACCAAGGAGTGCCTGATCCCAGTTATGCCTATAGTTCCCTCCAGTATCTGTCCCAAAGCCAGATTTGATGTCCTTAGCCCTCCAACATGATCCTATAAATTCAGAATCCACAGTCTTTTTCGTTTGAAGCACCCTTTTCCCCAAGGCATGCCTACCCTAAGTTTCATTGAATGAAAAGCCATAACTCTGGAACATCCCATGTGCAGTATTTCAGATACAGGAGTCTGAAAAGGCCATTCAGTAAGGCTTATTTTGCTGGTCTAAAAAAGCATCATGTAGGGCCCATAGGAGAGTCAATGCAGTGTGCCAGTGACCTGAAAATTGAAACGATTTGCCCACGAGGCCAAGGCTAGATACTCAATGTGAGGAAGGTCTATTTTGGTCACTTATTTTGGCTACCCCATGTATCAGACACGTCATAGACTCACCCAAATATTTCTGCCCAGCCCTTTCATAAGATAACTGAGGTTATCTTTCAGTGCAGAGAAAAGTTTGAGGAATAGTTCTGGCTTCCTGCCCCATAAGCTTCTCCTCTCTCCCCTGCCCTTGTTAGAGCAAGCCTAGGAGACCTGTGGAAGTCCCTCCTGGTAAAAGGCTGTATTTCACAGTCTGCCTTATCACAGCTCAAGACTGGTGATGAAGATGTCCCATGGGAACAGGTAGATCCTGGACCACAGGGTCATGGTCTGGTGATCATACCTAGAAAAGCACTGACTGAAAGTACTTCACAACTTTCTTAGTGCTGGTTGAATGATGGCATTTGCTGGGGGTACCCAAACTCAAGGAACAGTTTGGGCCAAATGGAACATGGAGCAAATCTGGATCTTGACTGGAACTATCTGATACCATGTCCTATCATTTGTCCAACAACCAGGTTTGATCATCCTTGGGATGCTGGAAACCCATCCTTAATGGTCTCATCCTGCCTATGCTAGCAGAAGAGACAAAGAGACAGAAGTTCCTTTGGAGACAGAGGGACATTGGCAGGGATGCAGCATGGCTCTCACTGACCTCCACTCCTTTGTCTTTGCAGTGGAGAATCTGGAGCAGGGAAGACAGAAAGCACAAAACTGATTCTGCAGTTCCTGGCAGCAATCAGTGGTCAGCACTCCTGGATTGAGCAGCAGGTCCTGGAGGCAAATCCCATCTTGGAAGGTGAGGCCTCAGATAACAAAGAATTCTTTTGCTGGAAAAAAATAAGAAACAGATTCAGGAACCATAAAATATAACCAAATGTAAAATACTTATGTCACACTTCGAGTTTCCAAAAAAGTGACAAAACTTTTTTTTGAAGTACACTTTTACTAAACAATGCATTCGGATTCTTTCCATCTGAATTTATTTTTCACAAGACTAATATTCTCTAAGCTCTCAATGTTTCCTTTAATATTTTTGACAACTGTTGTTGAAAGCAAAGCATTTCAGCTGACCTGTATTATTTTTTCAACTATTTTGTTACTTCAAAATTTGGGGGAAAAAAGTGGTTTTCCATATAAAACAGTACTTTTTTCCTCCCAGAAAATCCATACAAAACCCTGAATTTTACCTAATTCTGTGTGTAGTATGTAAAAGCGCTGTTCAATACTTTTTTGCTCTTTTGAAAAGTCTCACCACATCCTCCAGTGCTGGACTGCATGCAGAGCTTCAGTATCCTATCAGTGCTGCATTCAGCTAACTAATTATTTCCTTTTTTTGGCCATAGTTGCAAAAATCCTATTCTTAAGAATGGTTCTAAGGAATAAGAATCCTATTCCTATTCTTAGATGGCTCCATAAAACATCAGTTTAATAGGACCTGAGCTTCACAGCACCTTGTGCTGGCTGTATACAATAGCAAACCCACCTTTTCCTTCCAAGACCAGTGAATGGCAGCAGAATGCAGAAGAAATAGAGGAGTCCAAGAAAGAACCAGACAATGAGAATCAGCTTGTGGCCTTAATAGGTTCTTTGGCAGGCTGTTACTGTGATCAACCCCAGTGTTTTAATTGGATATCTGTAAATTAAATAGGTTATCTAACCCTCTTGACCCAAAATGATGCCAGATGTACCTTTTATGCTTATGCAGAAAAACTGCATTTTCTTTGAAGAGTAACACTGGGGTTGTTCTCTAAAGATAGAGGTTTGATCAGCCTGATCTAGTGGGAAGTGCCCCTGCCCTTGGTAGAGGGATTGGAGCTAGATGATCTTGAAGATCCCTTCCAACCCAAACCATTCTGATTTTTACCTCCTCTGCTTGGTGAATAACCCTCTAGGAGCCAACAGAAGTGTGACAAGCACACAGGGCACTATTGAATATGCACTTGGGCACTGCTGAGATTCAGGAAACAGAGGCTCTGTAATTCAAGTGCTTGTCCATCACCTGCCAGAAATCCTGGAGCAGAAATTGCAGGGTGTGCTGGCTTAGGGCACTCATCCACACCCAACAGAAGGTGGACACGGGTACCTTTCTCTGCACAGTCTGCTTGCAGAGAGAAGTCTCCTGCTGGAGGTTGGCTTAGTTGTCTGTATTTCCCTTTTGGAAGCATTTTCCCTTTTATTTCTCTCTCAGTCATTAAATCACTCACCAGCATCTCTGCCTTTTTCTGAATGTGTCACCTTTCACACTGCAGCCACTCTTGCTCAACTCTCCTCTAATTTCATCAGCTGCTGCCAAAATCCTGCTATCCTAGCCCTACTTCCTGGATAAGGTCATCCCATTCCCAAGCTTCCTTCTCTGTGCTCCTCTCTGTATTTCCAAGGAAAGTCATCTGATATACATCTTGTTTCCTCACACTGAGATGAAATTGATCCAGCCAAACTTAAGGGAAGGCTTTGGGGCTGCTTTTAACCCTCTCAGCCTCACTCTTTTGACTTTCCCCCACTGAGACCAGATCCATCATCCTCCCCGCATCAGACCTTCTCTAAAGCACCATAATTCTTGCAGCTTTTGGGAACGCAAAGACCATCCGTAATGACAATTCCAGCCGGTTTGGGAAGTACATCGACATCCACTTCAACAAAAGGGGAGCCATAGAGGGGGCAAAGATTGAGCAGTACCTGCTGGAGAAGTCCCGGGTGTGCAGGCAGGTAAGGTGATAGCACCTGCAAGGCGCGGGCAGCCGACCTTTGCCGTGCCGTTCCCCTCACAGAGCTGGCACTTGCTCTTCTCCTGCAGGCCCAGGATGAGAGGAATTACCACGTGTTCTACTGCATGCTGAGAGGAATGACCGTGGAGCAGAAGAAGAAGCTGGGTCTTGGGAAAGCCACAGACTACAACTACCTTGCGATGGTGAGAGAGCAGTGAAACAGAGGTTTGGTGGGGTGATGTGGTGAAAGATCCTTAACAAGGGAGAAGGAAAAGAGAGGTGCTTCTGCAGCCAAGAGCTGCTTTGCTGGTTATGACCTTCCTGAGCCTTTGCCACAGGGTTTGACAAATCTCTTAGTCTCACCACCACAAGGCTCATAGTCTTAGTGGAAATCCTTAATCCCTGTGTCTAGACCAGGCTATTTCCCCACTTTCTGTGAAGTAGAACACAAGCTTGGATGGGATGGTGTATGGTGCCCATGCCACATGTTTGGGTGGCAGTAGCCAGGGTGTTAGATAAGACCTGCTGCTCTTGAGGCAGAGATAGGTGTAGAGAAGTGCTTGTCTGGATGGCACACTTTCAGCAGAATATGGGGATGAGCTGTGTGTGCTCCAACTGTCTGACCAAGCCAGCAATCTCCAACCCCACTCCCTATATACCAGTGTTGATATCCAGAGGAGCTGATAGAAGCGGGTGCAGTTAAGGCTGGTGCATCATCAGCAAGGCTGGGACCCAGCTTTCTCACTGGATCAGTGGGACCCTCCAGCTCTCTATGCCCATCTCAGAGAGCTTTTTCTCTTCTGCTGATGGCAGTCAGACACAGGGTACCTGGGGACAACAGGGTAAGTGTAGGTCACAAGGCTCAGCACTGAGTCAGAATATGACAAAGGGCAGAGTCAGATCCACAAGTTCAGCATCATGCCTTGAACAAAACCTTGCTGGTTCTGGGGGAAGCCCTGAGAGCTTAGGGTGATACCCTGGTGCTCCCTGGCTTTGCCCCATGCAGTGTGTGCCCCGTTTGCCTCCCCAGGGTAACTGCACGACCTGTGATGGCAGAGATGATAGCAAGGAGTACGCCAATATCCGCTCCGCTATGAAGGTCCTCATGTTCACCGACACCGAGAACTGGGAGATCTCCAAGCTGCTGGCTGCCATCCTGCACATGGGCAACCTGCAGTATGAAGGTAAAAGGACAAAATACATGGTCCAGTGCACTGCTGCTCTTCATTCTGCCTGCTGACAGGCAGCCAAACTTAGGGATGGAGAGCTGTATCCAGAACACCTGCCATGGTGCCATGCCAGGGTCTCAGTGTTTATTATGGCATTTTAAGGACAAGGAATAAGGAATAATTCCACCTGCCCACAGGAGCGCTGCTAGGCTGCAGTGTGCTCAATGACATCCACAATTCTGAGTGTTGTGAGGTCGAATATGAACAGAGGTCATTCAGTAGACTCAGGTTTTACAAAGAGAGACTAATGGAGTGTTTGACAGGTGCCTGTGTGACTGGATATACCTTTGTAAATGTACCAAACAGCTCTGCTGTCAGAAATGACATAGTGATTTAAAAAGCCTCTTCAGAAGGCAGAAGCCTAAAGCACTTAGATGCTAAAACATTTCTACATTCTTTACTATCTGGTCTGGCAGAGCAGAGTACAGGTCCTTTGCAGTCAGCAGCAGGACTCCAGCAGATGTGTGAAATTTTCTTTCTCTTCTGATGGCCAGATTTTGCCAGGACATCACACAGAGACAATGAAGAATGACCCTTTCCCTCACCCCATCCACTTTCTGCAGAGACACATGCCTTGCTCATGGCTTTCCCTCTGCCTTTCTTTCCCCAGCTCGGACCTATGACAACCTGGATGCCTGTGAGGTTGTTCAGTCAGCATCGCTCATCACTGCGGCAACTTTGCTGGAGGTCAGTGGCCCTGCAGTGCTGCTGGTCCCCTTCTGACTCCACCCCAGCTTTTTAGTATTGTGGCAAAACTTTGTCTAAGCCAGCCTCCCCTGGCACCACTAGCTCTAGGAGGCTGAAGAGCCCTGGATAAGCCATATTGTGTCTTGCATTGGCAGCTTGAAGGTGAATGTCTCCATCTGGGCTGAGTAGCCAGAGGAGGCTGCAAAGATACTCAGAAGGCTGGAGCACCTCTTCTATGGGGAGAGGCTGAGAGATCTGGAGTGTTTCAGCCTGGAGAAGAGAAGGGTCTGGGGACAGCTTAGAGCCCCTTTCAGTACCTAGAGGGGTTCCAAGAGAGCTGGGGGTGGGACTTTTGACAAGGACATGGAATGATAAGACAAGGCAGAATGGTTTCAAACTGAAAGAGGACAGATTTAAATTAGATATTAAGAAACTCATCACTGAGGGTGGTGAGGCGCTGGAACAGGTTGCCCAGGGATTTTGTGGCTGCACCACTTGTGGGCATGTTCAAAGCCAGGTGTGATGGGACTTTGAGCAACCTGGTCTAGCAGAAACTGTTACTGTTGGGGGTTGGAACTAGATGATCTTCAAAAGTCCCTTCCAACCCAAAATATCCTATGATTCCATGATCCGATTATCAGAGCTCCCCTTCATACCAGCAGGTAGGAACAGACCCTCTGGTGGGTCTAGCACATTGTCCTAGAAAGGGCATCCAGAATACCTCAGTCCCTAAAGTAGGGTGTTTCCCTCAGTGATAAAGTTCATAATGGTACTTGAGACAGATGTCATATATATTCTGTGTATCTGAAGAGTGAGGTGAGATGACCCTCACTGAAATCATCCGTGCAGTGACTGGGGCATTCTTCAGTGGCCTTCTGAAGAGCTAACAGGAGCATCATCTCGTCTCCTTAGGCACTGCTTGTCCCAGAGTGTGATCCACAGTTCTCTGTCCACTTAGAGAGTGGACATTTCCCTGATGAAGTACAAAAACGGGTCAAGGTGATGCAAAGCTTTAACCCATGCTGGTATCATACAGCATTGCAGGCTTTGCTCTGCTTTCTCATCCTGTCCTCCCACACCTCGTTAACATCTCATGCTAAGTCACAAGAACACCTTCCAGATAAAAATACAGTATAAAAATGTTAATTTTTCTCTCTGAAAATGCCTGTGTCTTCATTTGAGGTACCTCCCCTGTACAGCAGCTGTGTTTGGGCTTGTCTCTGTCAGGTTGAGCCTCAGGACGTGATGAACTGCCTTACCAGCCGGACCATAATCACCAGGGGTGAAACTGTCTCCACCCCTCTCAGCATGGAACAAGCGCTGGATGTGAGGGACGCTTTTGTAAAGGTAAGTCTCAGGGCATTTCCTTGTGCCTTCTCTTGATAAGCTGAAGAAACCTGCCCCTTCTGAGACTGTGCCTGTGTGAGCTCAGATCAGCAAATGCCCTTGAAACCATGTTCTAGTTGGGATGTACAGAGTTGGGGTGAAAGGAATGTATGTAACCTGCTCTGCAAGGGATTTGCCATCTGGATTGGAGATTGTCTGTACTCAAAGGGGACCTGCTGAAGGACCCAACATTCTGAAATTACTTTACCTCAGCTTCTAGAAAGATCCTCAGCTACTGTAAATCAGAGCAACTCTACCAACACCTCTAGCACACACACACGAATTTCAGGATTTCGGAACATAAGCAGCCGTAAATACAGCTGAACAACACAGGGCCAGGAATAGAGCAGTCCAGAAGCCATCAGAGAACTTAGAACATCTTGAGGTTTTGGAGTAAAGAAGGTTGATGGGATAGGTGTGGATCTCTGCTGTGCTGTTTGTAGCCCTATGTAAAATTGCAAGACAAGCATTATTGGCATGCCTTGACCAACTTGGGTCTTCATTTTATCTGTGGGGAATTGGTCAATCAAGCTGGTTTGAAAGCTAACTAGTCTGCAAATCCTGGCAGTGTCTTCTCTAGTGGTGATGGACCTTAGAATTAGTCTCTCCTCTTGGTCACACTGCTGTAGCTTATAAAATAAAAATTAACAAAAATTTAAAACATGAAGTTCTGGAATTACCGAAGCAGCAATATCTGTGTCATTAGATCATCAGACTGTTCAGCCAGTGCTGCACTGTTTCAGTGAGCACATTGTTCAAGTGAGCAAGGTGTTCTTGCACTGTAACATGGCTCTGCTCTGCTGATCTGTAGAGAGAAATGTGTGGAAACCCAGGAAAGGACTGTCTGGCTTCACAGCAAGCCCAAAGATCCAAAATGTAGCACTATCCAAATTTGGGGGTTTGCTCTCAATTGTCTTTTAGCTAGACTTTCGGGTCTGTTTTCCTTGATCCACATAATGGTTCTTGAAGCTTTAAACCATGCCAAGAGTCTGGCACAAACATTGGTGAGCACATCCTCAGGGACTGTCTGGTTGTTGGCCATGCTTTAGGAGAACCTGTGCCATCAAGGGTGAAGTGGTGACACAGACTAGCAGGACAAACTGCTGAACTGTCTCAGTGAGCCCCATCTCTGGGATGTTGCAGGGAATTTATGGGCGACTTTTTGTGTGGATCGTGGAGAAGATCAATGCTGCAATTTACAGACCTCCTTCCCAGGAACTCAAAAGTATCAGGAGATCCATTGGCCTTCTTGACATCTTTGGCTTTGAGAACTTCACTGTGAACAGGTATGGAGCCTGCTAAAGGAGAACCAGGTCTTAATCCTCCTTCACAAGCCCAAGCTCAAGGTCTTGCAGTCCTTTCACCTCTCCTGAAGTAAACTGGATGGACTGGGTTGGACCAAGCCTATTTCTATATGAGAAATTATCAGAGCTAATCAATCAGTTTCTAAACTGATTTAGACCACACACATAACATTGTTTTGGGAAAAAACTGATTTTCTGAACCAATAAGGAAATTCTAAGCCAACAGTAGCTTTACTGAGTGGTTGACAAGGTCTGAGAGTATTGCTTAAAGCATGAAGAGAGATGTAGAAAAAATTAACCAGGGTGTATATAAAAAGGCCTTTTCTTGACCTTCCCTCCACAGTTTTGAGCAGCTTTGCATTAACTTTGCGAATGAAAACCTGCAACAGTTCTTTGTGCGCCACGTCTTCAAGCTAGAGCAGGAGGAGTACAACCTGGAGAATATCAACTGGCAGCACATCGAGTTCACGGATAACCAGGATGCCTTGGACATGATTGCCATCAAGCCTATGAACATCATCTCCCTCATTGACGAGGAGAGCAAGTTCCCCAAGGTGTGTTTTGGACTCAGCCTTGCTGCCAGTGGCTCTCCTGATTTTATCCCCTTTGCACTTGCATGCTGGCAGCCTGTGAGATCTGCTCAGCCCCAAACACACATTCACCTGTGGCCTGCCTATTTATAATTTTTATTGCTCTCTTAAATTTTCTTCCGTCAGTGTCCCAGAAACAAGTGTTTCTGATGGGAAAATATGCCTGCAAGAGGCTCAAAAACATCTATTGGCAAAGTTTAAGAGAAAATAATGTTAAATACACTCCTTTTGGAGCATTATTTTGAATACAGAACTACATACCAGTGATATTTAATTAATTTCTGTAATTTTTGCACTTGAGATATCTTCTCCAACATATCACTTCTCAACATAAATGCACATTGTCACCAAGTCAAGAAAGAAATGTGCTATTGACTGGAAAATTATTTCAATGGGAATAGCTTTGGTTAAATGTCAGTTCTTTTCATGCACGTACAGGGTACAGATGCCACCATGTTGCACAAGCTGAACTCTCAGCACAAGCTTAACACCAACTATATTCCTCCGAAGAATAACTACGAAACCCAGTTTGGCATTAACCATTTTGCTGGAATTGTTTACTACGAAACCAAAGGTATGGGGCAGCTTCTAGGACACTGCAGGGGGTGAGGGGATATTCATGGGCAGACAAGCCACTGCTGTGTTGGAGCAGAGCAGGGTGGTAGTCCACGGTCGTGTCAATGTTTTCCTTTTCTGGCTGCAATGACTTGACCCTCCAGCTGTGCCAATGAGCTGCAGAGTTTGGTGCTGTTTCATTCATGTGTGCCTGTGACAGAATGGCAGTGCTTTGCACCACTGCATCCTCAGTCCAGTCTGAAGATGCACCTCTGTCTTCCTTCTCATGGTCTCTATCTGCCCACTCATTACTCCCATTACCTCACCAAGAACATCCAGTAATCCAACAACCCAGAAGCTGCTTGCAGCTCATGTGCTGACCATGTTGCACTGTGTCATCTATGTGTTGTCCCATTATTTCTCTAGGTTTCTTGGAGAAAAACAGGGACACGCTGCATGGAGACATCATTCAGCTGGTGCATTCCTCAAAAAACAAATTCATCAAGCAGATCTTCCAAGCAGATGTGGCAATGGTAATGCAGGCGGGAGAAGGTCTTTATTCAGGAGGAGGGGTGTTCCTGGAAGGGGTGGAAGATTTGCAGAGTCATACTGCTCCGATGCTCCTTGGGGTGTTACAAACCTGTTAGTGAGAGTCAACCATCAGGAAGTGTTAATGCGGTGTCATGGGTGCATCCACATTCATGCGCCCGGTTCACTGCATTTGAAATATCATGAAATACTATTCTTTTGCTATCATGGCCCCTCAGACTTGTGTAGGGATTGGAACAATCAGGTTTGTGATTGTAGAAATCTGAGAGAAAAGTAACTGTGCCTTCCAGTTAGGTCATCCAGATGTGTGTATAATAGAATGAGAGGTAAACTAACAGAGGGTAGGTTTAGATTAGGTGTTAGGAAGTTCTTACCTGTGAGGGTGGTGAGATACTGGTATAGGTTGCCCAGAGAAGCTGTGGATGCCCCATCTTTTAAAGTGTTCAAATGTTCAAGCAATCTGGCCTACTGGAAGGTGTCCCTGCCTATTGGAGGAGGGTTGGAACTACATGACCTTGAAGGTCCCTTCAAACCCAAACTTTTCCATGAGTCCAAGTAAAAGCCAAATAATTGTCAACCAGAGTAGAACAAAAGGACAATCTTGCTGGTCCTTAAGCACCACAAGAAGACTTGAAGGGAACAGTTGTATTTTACTGTTACAACAGCAGAGAAAGGGAACACCAGTTATGAAAGCTAAACTTCAAAGCTCCTCTTTCCACATCCCAGTTCTCCAGGAGGTTATGTGTCTACTCCACACTCAGTGTGAGAGAAGACTGTGTGCCCTGAAGTTTCAGAGAAAGGCAGTTACTGCTTTAACCCTTTCCACCCCATTTGAACATTTATTACTGGGATACCAGCTTAAATGCTGAGATTAGTGACCATTTCACTTTAGTAACACAAATGTGCGATATTTTCTTCAAGAAGTTGAACATCTAAATCTCTCCACTCATCCCTGCTCCCAAGATTAAAGTAGAAAGTGTTTTAAAATGTCAGTCTTACAGAATCTGAAAGTCTATACAGATCAGTCACTATGGCCAAATCCCCCAGTCTTTCCCAAGGCAAAAGTCATGGGACTGCAGAGGGTGTGGGAATAACATTTTTCAAAGCAAACACATTTTTTGGCAGTCGGAGTCCCATTTCCAAATGCCAGCCAATGCCACTGATGGACCAAGGGACTTAGGGACTTTCAGGAGTGCCAATTTGTAAGTGCTGAATTCCTTTACTTGCCAAAGGAAAGAAATATTTACATTCCCAAGACATTTCTTTGAGTATGCTACGTGCTGTTTTGCAAGCCTTGTTCATGAACTTCTGCCATTCAGTTTTGCTCCTGATGAAATTAATGGTCATTATCCTTTTGACTTCATTTGGAATAAGAGAACATTTATCAATTACTAATTAAGCTACCAATTGGCATGACACTCCTGTTGGGTTCAGAGCTATCCTCAGAAGTGGATACTCCTGTTAAAGTAGACGCTAACTCCCTTAGCATCAGTGCTGCTGCTTACTTTGCTTTTAATTGCTTATTCCTTGCTGCTTTTTATTTTTGGTGTAAGCTTTGCAGTTGACCTTGGAAGTGATTTCTTTCTTCTTTGGGCAGAGCAGAGATGCACTCTGGGGCATCAATGAAAAGGTTTACACAGTCACACAAGCTTTCTCACAGGGATCCCTACCAAAGCATCTTTAAAATATGCTGGAAGTATATTAATAGCAAAGTTGAGATGTCTGCCTGGATGTTGTCTAGGATCTGAGAACTGAAACCTCTGAAAGCATTGGATCCCCCCTTTTTTTTAACATAAACTGTTTGAGGTTTTTTTATAGTTCCACTAGACATCTTCAGAATCTGTCCCAAGTGGTGGTCTCTGTGCTTTGATACTTTAATGATGCCTGAGTTTCTTTTTGGAATGAGAGATTTTTAGCCTGATGTCATGGAACTGGAAGAAGAGCCAACATTGTGTGCAAGCTCCTCTAGCCATGCACAGTGTCGCTGTGAACCTGGAGAGCACTAATTCCCTGAACACCACCACACAAAAATTCTCAAGACAAGCAGGATCCAATATGGGGCTGAGATGCTTCTGCCATTGCTTTCCACCAACGTTCAGTAATGTCTGCAGCCCCTTTCTTAGGACACGTGCCCCAAAAGAAGGAGCAAGTGAGCCTGGGTCACAGAAATTGACTGCATGTAGCAAAGCTCTATGGTAAAGTGTCCTTGGAATGCCTTGGAGCTGTGCATGCCTTCCCCAAGCTTCAGTGAGGCAGTGTGTGGAGGAAATTTCCAGAGACACTCAGGCTTGGACAATCAAATATAACATCTTCTCTTAAAGAGAGACAAGTGGCTGTTCTGCTAAGGACTAAATCAAATCCTGAGGCATTTTGCTCAACACTTCCCAAATGTTGGTCCTCAGGAGCTTATTGATGAGTTTGTAGGATTTTGTGAGTCAGGTACAAGTAAGTCCACATCTGCTTTACATTCAGTCTTTCAAATGGGGCCCTTATATTCCAGAAACTTGAGAAAGCCACAGCTCAGAGAAATTTGATAATTGAGATTGTATATTTCAATGTTGTAGTAGCTGTTTGGTCCCTGAAAGACCTAATACCTGTACACAATGAAACCTCTGGGGTGAACTGGGCATTTCTGGAGCACATGGGGCTGTAAAGTGTCATTTATTCATGCTCATCACAGAGAGGGTTATCTGCATGTGTTTGCTGAACAGGAACATTGCTTTGAGTGGTGCCAGGTGAAATTATGGATTAAGTGGGAGTTGTACACTGTTCCTCTGTGGAATCAGCTGGTATGGTCTGGCAGCACTGCTTGTTCAAGGAACAGATAGAAGGAGCAGTGGAGGACGGAACCCTGTAAAGTGAAAAACAAATGGGAAACTGGGGGGGTGGGGTGGCTTTCCCCTTGGCAAAAGTTTAAATTCTATCAAAAATACCTGATTTGGGGATTAAAATTAGGGAGGAAGGGAGGGATGTCTTTACAGCTTTTTGTGGTTTGTTCCTGGCACCTTCCCGGCCAGTGTATATTGAAAGCAGAGGTATGTGAGGTAGAAGAATGGCAATGGCTGAAATTGGATAGATAGTGAGGTTAAAAAATGTATAAAGTTTGTTTCCAAGAAGCAAGAGCTGAACACTGGCAGTTCCCTCAGAGAAGTGAACATCAAGATGAAGGAGAAAATCCAGGAGAGGGTTATACAAAAATCTAAGAATTAATGCATTTTGTTCATGAGATATATAAGCAGCTGGACTTCCAAGACTAAAAATGTCAGGCTCCCATTTCAGTTATTCCTTCTTTTCACTATTTGCTCTTCTCTGTCTCTGTTTTGTGTTTTGTTTTGTTTTTTTTACCTGTGCTTCGTGTAGTTTCTCTGTGGCTATGCATCCAGCACATTTGGCCAGTCGCCCACACCCACACCAAAGGTAAACTGAATACATGAGTTCCTCTTTTGTATACTCACCTCTCCTTGGCAAGGATTGTGCTTTACTCCTGTTGGTTTATTCCTCTTCCTGCACTATCTATAGAGGATCCATTTCAAGTGACCAGTGTGTTGGAGAGCATTTTTTACAGCTTGTTGAATTGGTACAGGGGTACGACTGTGTCACTTAATTCTAGGACTCAACTCAGAAAAACTTTGTAACGATGGGGATTTGATCAGAACCAGGCTCAGCCAAGGTTTTGAGGATTTTTTCCTGATAGTTGAATCATTCTAAATAACTTCAGATGGATCATCTGTGATTTGGCTGTTGCTTACCATGGTGCCACCATTGGCTTCCTCCAACAACTGCAAATCTCACCCTGTGTTACACTTTTTGAGGCAAGACAGCCCACATGCAAAGAGAGACCCCTGGACTGCATTTCTGCGTTGTTTGGAAATGCTATTATTTTTGGAGGTGGAGGGTTAGTTCTTGTTCAGGGGGGACCTCAGATCCAAGCCTTCAAAGACAAGATAATATGAAATTTTCTCATGATCATCAAAACAGCCTTTTGGCACCTCTTTTAGGTATTTTCTGTTGCATCTCATCTGCTGACTGGTTCTGATAACTTCCCAAACCTTGCTTACTAGTTATTTGGCCATAAGATAGCATATTGTGTGCTAAAGATTTTATGATATAAGCTTTGAGACTCTGCTCACATTTCCACAGCCCCTTGATAACCAGAGGATTAGCTTGCTTTTCAAAATTCAGCTCTTTTCATGGGGCTGAATTTCATCCCTTTTTACTTCTGCAGTATCTTGGATGTTTGGATTTGGAATTCCAATGAGGAGGATCTGACCCAAAATGACTGAAAGCCATTAATTCCAGAGGTGGACTCCTTCCCCTCTGTATCATGGTGAAAATTGTTTCAATTGGAGCTTATCACTGGGCCTTGCTCTAGAGTTGTAGTAAAAATAATAGTCTTTCCTGAATTAGGATACGAGAGAGCTGGAGAGGGATTTGAGTGATTGGACAAGGGGAATGGCTTTAAACTGAAAATGTTTACTTGAGGTATTAGGAAGAATTTCTTTCCTGTGAGGATGGTGCGGCACTGGCACAGGTTGCCCAGAGAGGCTGTGGATGCCCTATCCCTGGAAGTGTTCAAAGCCAGGTTGGATGGGGCTCTGATCAGCCTGGTCTAGTGGAAGATGTCCCTGCCATGGCACTGGGGTTGGAACTAAATGAACTTTAAGATCCCTTCCAACCCAAACCATTAATAATTCTGTGATTCTGTGGTGGGATTAAATCCAGGAGACAAATGTGCAAAACCTGTCAGAAATGTTTAGACCAGTTTTTTCCTCTGAAGATGTCAACAGGTGATACAGGGAAATGGGAGTTTTGTTGTTGTCATAGTTGATCTTACAACTACACTTTGTATTTTGTAGGTTTTCTAATGAATAATAATTGTTCATATTTGTTCCACTGAGGTAAAGGTGGAACAGCCAAGACAAAAACTATTTTTCATGTGTATATATATATATATATATATATATGCATCTCAATAAGCTTGTAGTTCAAAATAGTGATACTTGGCACTGTTATACAGCCCATGTCACCATTGCATTGGAAGGCACTTTCCAGACTGCACAGCCTTTAGGAGAAAGACTCTCTTCACTATATGATGCTGCAGAATGAGGTGGCCTCAGCTTTCAGTGGTCACCTGAAGGTCACCCCAGTGATATTTCATTTAAAATATAACAAACAAAAAGCATCATTTTGCCCAGAAACTGCATGTCACATTGGCATGGCTCAATTTAGTGACTATATAATCCTAAAGAGATGGGAGGATGGTCCTTTGTCCAGAACCTTTCCCCAGAGTGCTGGTGGTGGTACATGCCTTGCCCTCCTTCCCGAGCTCTCCCCAAGTATTACATCTTTCTGCATTTCCACTGAAGCAAGCTGCCATCTCCTGATGTGTTTCTGCTGCACCAGCAGCCTTGTCATTCAAGGAGGAGAAGGTGCAAAGAGACAGAAGGAATAACGTCTACCATTTCTGGCTCAGTGACATTTCTCCTTGTAGTTGCCATTCTCCTTGCCTTTTGTCTTGGTGTTACTGCAAACAGCCATGTATGTGTTTGCACTTCCAAAGTTCAGACTGGCTTGAAATGGCAGAAAGAGGTGGAATTGAAGCATGTCTGGATGTCATGCTGGTCTGCACATCATTCTAAACTCTCTTCTGCATGCTCCGTTTCTTTAAATCACCTATTTCTCTTCTTTTTCTTGTTTTACTTTTCTGTTTTTAAGTATTTTCCTCCTTTGATGTTGAGTACAGGCTGAGTGCTGCAGTCTGGGGTACAGCACCTGTGAATCCAGCTCATCTTTCCCCATTTAACACAGGTCTCATCCTCCCTTCTACTGGGCTTTGTATGAACACAAGTGAAGAGAGTCTGAGTCCCAAAGATGTTACAGTCTCAGAGTTTGAAAGCTAGGAAGTGTCTAGCCAGGGAAAAGCAGAATGTATCAGCCCTTTCTCCATCAGGCTGTGGGGACTGGGTCTGGTTTTAGCTTAAAAAATGCTTCTCCTCTGCAGTAAATCCTGTATTTTCAGTGCCAGGCTATGTTGAGAGGCTGCTCCATTCCTTTTTTTTTTTTTAAGTCATTTTGTTGAAGTAAGGGAAGAGGTGTGATTCTCTCCATGCTGGTGTTGAGGTGAGGCAGAAGGAACCACAATTACTTGAGTGGTGTCACCCATCCCTGAAGGATGAAGCTGATGCAAAACACTTGTCAGGTTATTTATTGTACGTCTGAGAGCCTGAAAAGTGCCCATAGGGGTGGTGCCCACCATTGAGAGGGGTCTGTGCACAAATGTCAGACCCCGAAATGTCATCCCTGAATGGGATGATGTGGTCTTGACAGGGGGAGCCCAGACTGCTCTGACTACTTGGACAGGAAGACAAGCGGCTCTCTGGTCACTGTCCCTTCCTTCCAACCCCTCCCAGCAAAAAGCCCTCAGATGTAAGGATGGAGATGGCACCGCTGCTTTTTGCCGGATCTGGATGCATGCAGGAAAGAAATGCAAGGCACCAGCAAGCTGGAGAGGCATTTCTTGCTGTCTGGGAGCAAACCACTTGTGCATTCCTTTGTAGACCCTTGTACAAAGTTTTTCTCCCTTCCTAACATCATGGCTTAAAAATGATCTCTCCCAGCCAAGCCCAAACTGACTAAAATTTGGCTAACATGCAATTGTTTCGGACTGCCAGCCCTGCTCCTGCATCTGTTGCTGCTTCCAACCCCTGTGGCTATCCTTCCCCACCTCATGGAGGTGACCTCGTGTGCATAATTAGCAATGTGATGAGAAAACATTCATCAAAGCCTTTCAAATCAGGATTCTTGCTGAAACAGCCTTTTCCTCAGAAAATCTGCAACAAAATAGGAGCATCAGACTCTCCAGTGCTCTGCAGGTAGCAGCTGTATCCATTAATTACCCCAGATTTGTTAACAGTTTGTCCTTCTGGGGAGGATTTTGCTGGGAGAGATCACTGGTAGCCCCCCATGCTGTTCTTGGCAAGCAGGCCAGGTTTTTGTGGTGTTTGCATGAGCTGGGTTTTCTCTTGTTGGAATTCCATGACGACTTTGTGCTTGTGCTGATTGGGTTTGTCTCAGCATCGCATCCGACCTGAGCTGTGTAAACTCCCTGTTTGTGGCAAAGGGGTTGGACTAGAGGGAATTTGTAATCCCTTCTGATCCAAACTATTCTGTAATTCTATGGAATTCCTCAGTTTTGGGGGGCGGGAGTGTTAAAGGTTATTAGTGATATGTGGTGAAGCACATGTAAAAATTTTAGCAAAAGTAGAAATAAACACAGTAACAGAAATGTGCAGATGAACACTGTAAAACATGGCAGCAAGGCCAGTGCAGATGAGGATTTTGTGACTCCACATATGGCTTGACCACCTGCAAATAAGAGGATATTTGAAAGAAAAAATGCATTAAAATCCTGCTGGAATTCTCCCTTTGGGAATTCTCTAGCCATCAGGTCATGTCACGGGTCATGTTACATGCTCAGCCTCTCTCTAGTTAAGAGGGAGTTGCTTCCTGATACCAACTCTTCTTCCAGCCCTCCAGCATTACCTGCTGCCCCACAAAGGCTCCCTGAGCACCAGATCCCACTAGACACACAGCACCACTGTGACTGATGTGAAATGAGCTCAGGTAATAGTGTCTGGCACATGAAATGAGCTAGGGACTTGATTTGGAGGTGGTTTTACAAGGTTTTCCCAGAGCAGGAAGAAGGGACTATTAAGAGAAACATACAGTCTCATTCAGAAACACTTGCCCCAAAATAGAGAGTGGATTATTAATCTGACCAAGAAAGCTGAACCAAGAAAAATACTCCAAATCTTCCTGATCTTGCTAAATACTCACCTCATTTAGTCTAGTTAATATTCTTCTCCAAAAGCAACTCGAATCTGTGGTAGTACAGGCTGAGGAATCTCAGCAGAAGTTTCTGGAACTGTTACAGAGTCACCCTGCAACAAGCATTCTCCTGGGTTATTTTTTACCCTAAATGAGTCTCTGGTTCTTGTTCCAGGGAGCAGGAGGAGCCCTGCCTGACACAAGGAACCATGACAGAGGATTTGGCATGCCCATGCTGCAATGCATGGGGACAGGGAAGCCCACACTGCTCCTGAGAGCATCCCTGGGCAGGTGCACTGCCCCAAGCTGTAATACAGAGAATTTTGATGGCCCTGTTTGCTCCTATGGGCAGATCTGCCTCATGGCTCTGCACAGGGAAGAGGGGTTTTCCAGTCACACAGGGAGGTTCAAGCAGGAAAAATTAAATCATGGCACTTTTCCTGCCTGCACGGAGCCACATGGAGTAGGCTGCCATAGCCCAGCCATTGCAAGTTCACAGGCTCTGCCCTTCCCCTCTTCTGCCACAACTTTCAGCCACCTCTGGCCCCACTCCCCCTCCAGCCCTGGCTGTTGCAGGAGGTTCCTGGGGACGCGGCCAGAGGGGAAAGTCAGTGTTATCCTTTCATTTCCTGAGTGCGCTGCTGTGCTGCGGTTTTGCAGGGAGCGGAGACGAGGAAGCGCTCGCCGACGCTCAGCAGCCAGTTCAAGCGCTCCCTGGAGCTGTTGATGAGGACTCTAAGCGTGTGCCAGCCCTTTTTTGTCCGCTGCATCAAGCCCAATGAGTACAAGAAGCCCATGGTAAGTCCTGCTTTTCTCTCCTGGTTGCTTTTTGTATGGGACTGCCTGTGGGGTCATTCTGCTCTGGAGCTACTGGCAAAACTCCTTTGGGCATCAGTGGAGACAGGATTGAGCCTGCATGCTTGGAAAAGCAACCCACAGCCTTCTGTGCAAGCAACAGAGTCACTAAAGGGTTGGAAAAATCAGGCACTTGCTTTCCAGTCCTACAGCACCCCAAAACTTTTTGCAGAGCATAGCTCCTGACCCTGCCTTTCTTCTCAAGGATGATCTCAAGGATTTCACCCTGCAGCCCCTTATCCTATAGGAAATTCCTCTCCATTTCCATAGGGGGTAGGGTCCTTCCTGCCAGAGACTTCAGCTGAGCCATAGGTTTAGTTCTATGGCAGAGTTCAGTGCTTTCTGAAAGTCATCTTCCCGTGCATGTTTTCCTAAAAATCTTTGCTCACATTGGATCTCCCTTATTTTAAATCCTGTTTGGTCATTTCCACTGCCTATTTTTTTTCCTCACCGATTCCAAAAGCATGGTTCTAAAAGCAGAGGAAGAAAGAGGCAAAATAGCACGGAGGGAATGTAAGAGGAGTTATCTTGCTCCAGTTCACAGTGATTTGCTTCAAAAGCAATGAACATTATGGGGGTAAACTTTTGGGAGCAAATAAGAAGGAAGGAGAGGGCTCTCAACCCCCCTGACCACAAACTGCTCATGGAAGGGATCTCAGAGTTTTGCAGCAGAAGGCAGGTGATAAGGTGGGTGCTGCATGCCCTGATCCCACTCCCCACACCTTGCAGGATCAGACACTGATGCTGTGACCAATCCTGTTTCCTGCTCACCAAACTTAATTGTGGTACTGCTTGGAAAGGAAGAGCTTTATTTAAGAAATAATCTAGTCAGGGCTGGAGCTTCATCTAAAGTCGGTGTCTGTTAGCAAAGCTCAGCTGCGTGCAAAAAAGCATAAAATCCTGAATTTCAGGGCTGTTATCTACAAGCAGTGTTTGTTTGAAACTTATTTTTACTGTTCAGAGAACCTAATAAGATGTAGAACAAAAGGTCTGGTGGGTCTCTCAGACCATTTTACTGTGCTCTTATCCTAGTTTTGGTGAGAGTAAAAGCCTGTTAATGGAATATTTTGGGTAAATATTTAACAATATGTCTGATGTGTGATTATCATCTGAGCAGAGATTAGAACAAGACCTTCTTTTTGGACATAGGCGATGTTGAGAAATAGGTGTACGTCCTGAACTGATGTTAGCAACTTATTTTATATGCCCTGATTATGAACTGTTTTTACACCTAGGTGTCTGGAATTCAGTCTGGTATTTTGACTTCTGCATAGGAAGTCTGTATTTCATCAGGTCTTACAAATACTAAGCCAGAAGTCTCTGTTCAATCTATTTGTCTACAAAACTTTCAGTGGGACAGGAAAACAATTTCAAGTTTGAAAGAATCAGACAAAGAGAAATTAATCTCCCCATGAAACAAATAAGTGGGTGAGCTTACACTAAATCAGAGACTGCAGTGTGACATGAAATGTGATTTCTTGCTAAATTTAATTTTGGCCTTGGCTTAATAAACCAAAGGAAAAGGAATCCCAGATAAAGGCACACAGAGCTGTGCAGGGTGACTGCAAAAGAGAACATTGTCTGTCCCTGCCTTTGAAGGAAAACGTACTGATAGTGATAGGAAATGGCATAGCGGAAGTGAAAGGTCAGTGGAAAGTCCTGGCTGTTTGTTACTTTATGTTATTCTAAAACTTTTACTTCCTTCTGAAATGTGCTTTAGCGGGGGGAAAAATTGTTTGTATCGCGATGCTGGCTGAAGTTCTCTGGGTCCGTATATCATCCCATGTTCCTGCTTCTGAGCATTGTTCTGATTAGTCGAAGAAAAAGGCGTGGGATGAATTAGATAACAAAACCATGCAAAGAAAATCAAAAATGTCTCCAGCAATCTGTGCCTCATCAGGCCCATGTGGAGGAGAGCACGGTTGCCCATAAGTGCTATGAACTAGCCCTGAAAGATTTGTACTCAAACCCCTGGTGATTTGATTTGGTGTCCTGTAACCTCCCCAGCTGTTTGATCGGGAGCTGTGCGTCCGTCAGCTGAGGTACTCTGGGATGATGGAGACCATCCGCATCCGCCGGGCTGGGTACCCCATCCGCTACACCTTCGTGGAGTTCGTGGACCGCTACCGGGTGCTCATGCCAGGGGTGAAGCCAGCCTACAAGCAGGTGAGAATCCTCCTTCACAGGTGGTGAGTGCTCTCTGCTGGGCAATCTCCAGAGATATTTATGGGGTGTGCCTCCTCTCCAAAATCAATTGTGCAGCATTTGATCCCCAGGTGTCACTGTGGTGCTCTGGGCTTTCCAAGTGAAGAAGAATGGTTACAGGGCTGGCAGGGACAGGTACCGTATTCAGGCTGTCTGTCTCACTCATCTTAAACAAAGTGACAGTAAAGCCATAAAAACCTCACTAGCAGAAAAGTGCAGGATTTGGGACCAGAAAAGGTTTACACTGAGCCTGGGAGGAGCAATGGATGAGTCTGGTCCTGGTGAATCCCAACTCCTTTTCTGTCAGGGTGATCTGCGTGGGACATGCCAGCGCATTGCTGAAGCAGTGCTGGGGAAGGATGATGACTGGCAGATTGGCAAGACAAAGATATTTCTAAAGGTGGGTGGTTCTCCACATTCCCTCTTGGGATCCATCTTGGATCCTTGCCTCTGGACGTGTCTCCTACCGTTTCCTTTTCATCACAAGACATGCCTGTTTTCCATGGTCTCTGGGCTGGCGTGTCAGTGAGTAGAGCCTGGCTTAAGGCAGAACATTTGGGGCCAGTTTAGGAGCTGCAGGTAGGAGGAAGTCCTGGCATGGTGCCAGCTCTGATGCATTCACAAATCCATACTGACACAAAAGTGGTCACATCCAGTGCGCAGCCTTTTCCCTCCTGGGCTGAGTGGTTCAGCTTCCTCTCCTGCCTTCACCCAAAAAGCACAGCAGCAGGAGGGATGCCCATGCAGAGCCCTGCAGAGAGAGGAACATGAGCACAACAGGCTCATTTTGCTTTCTGCACATCCTTGTGCAACTCGAGATGTGCCTACAGTCTCCTTTTCTGCATCAGTCCAGCTGATACAGAACAGTCTAACACTGCAGGTCCCCTGCAGCCCCTTACACACTCATCTTTCCTTACAAACCCATTCCTCTGCTGTTCTTGGAAGGTGAGGCTTCTCTCGAGCAAAAATCACAGTGATAAACTGTGATTGCTTACATCTAAATTCACCCCCAAATCCCACTGCCAGCACAAACACCCCCATCTCTTCCCCAGAACTTGTTGGCAATAGTTGCTCTTTCCAGAGCCTGTTATCAAGATTTCACAGCTGTCAGGGCAGGAAACAGAGAAATTGGGAGGCCCTGAGGGGCCATGGGAGGTCGAGCAAAGCAGGAAACATGTGGAACTGCCTCTGCTGCACGCAGTGCGGCATGGCTCAGCTTGTCACAACTGGGAAAGAAAGCTGCATCACACACAACATGGGAGGAATCAGAATAAAGCTTGGATTGGTGCATCTGAAAGCTTCAGGGCAAAGGAAATTCAGTGTTTTGAGGAGCTTTTTTTTCCTCAGGTTAGGGAAGCATTGCAATTTTGGCTGGAAGAAGTGATGGGACCCAACACCAGGTAGCCTGGAGTTTGTTTGCAAACCTCTCCAGTGCTCCTACGAGCTGCTCCTATGGCTGAAAGCACTAGGAAGGAGCTCTGCAGGGAAGGGCAGTGTAATTAAGCTGTTTTCAGACTGTGAAGTATTGCATTTGCAGCTTCTGGATGACCTGGTTTATTTGGGAATGAAGACTAGAGATCACTAGGGTTTGTGTTAGGACTTCGCCAGTGAGCAGGTGGGGTAATACTTGGGATGTAAAATGACCCCAGAGTTTATTTTGGACAGCTGTCCTGAGGAAGGGTCTTTTACCACCCACTCTGACCACATATCAGGCAGAGGGAGAGCCTGAGACATTGGTGTTGCGTTCCTTCCTCCCACAGGACCACCACGACATGCTGCTGGAGATTGAGAGAGACAAGGCCATCACGGACAAAGTCATCCTCATCCAGAAGGTGGTCCGTGGGTATAAAGACAGGTAGGTATGAGCCCCATGGCCAAATGGGAGGTGGGCTATGTGGGATGCTTCATCCAATAAGTGGGTCCTGGAGGCTGCACCACTTCTTTGGTGCCCAGATGACCAGAGGGGACCCCTGATGTGTTGGCACTCAGGTGCAGCAAGTACTGGAGGAAAACAGTAGAGGAAACAAGAGGATAACTGTGTTATCTGCCTCAAACCTGCACAGAATAGGACCTTCTGTCCCTGTTCAGGGATGTGGTGTTTGCTATGACAGTACAGCGGTGGGCTCTGAACCAGCTGAAGGCCATTCTGAGGCCATGATCTCCCATCTGTGGAGATCCCCACAAGACTGCAGAGGGAACACTGGGTCACTACTGCTACTAAAGTTCCTCTCCCCAAAGCCCAAGGGGTTCAGAACTCTTCCCTTTGCAACCCAGTTTCGAGACATGAGAAGAGGACAAGGTAGCTCATGGCACCATTGTGGATGAAGAGGGGGAGCCACAGCCAAGGACAAGCTTCACCTATGAAGGAGGGACAGTTCTTGGGGTTTTATGTTCTTTGATTGTCCAAGCTGCAGCTGTGGCTCAGGTTGTGCTTTGCAGAAAGGGCACGTGCTAAATAACTCATCTTTCACACACTGATCGTAGTGATACAAGACCCCCAAGGCCTCCCAACACAATTGTCTCCATGTTGTCTGGAGGTAGGATCAGATCAGGCTGAGAAGGACTGGAGGAGCGGATAGGGATAGCAGCATGTTGTTGGTGAGGTTGTTGGTGAGGATCATTTGGATTCAATCCATTTTTAGGTGCTAGAATGAAATGGGAAGGACACAAGGGGAAGAGGTTTTAGATGTGAGAAGATGATGCTAGGCTGGGATTCCTATCATCTCCTGTTCTTCCCATTCCCAAAATGCGGCATAATCTCCCTGCAGAGACCTCTCAGAGAGAGTGCCTACAGATGTTTTTATGAAAGCAAGGAAGGATGGGGAAGGAGACATTTTCAAGCCAAAAATGCGGTGGTTATTCCACCTGGACCCTCAGATTCAAATCTCCAAGAAATAAGGCCCAGGAGATGAGGATAACTTGTGGCCAAACCACAGAGGCAAATGATTGGAATGCTTTTGCAGGTCCAATTTCCTGAAAGTGAGAAATTCAGTCCTGATGATTCAGAGATACTGGCGTGGACATAACTGCAGGAAGAACTATGGTGCTGTAAGTACAGGGGTGCTTCCTCACACCTCTGCCTTCCCACCTCTCTAACCTGGGACATACATAAGGGTTTCCTGGTTCAAAATGTCCCATTGAATGTTGGAAGTGGTGAGGTTGGCTTTTATCAGTTGGAGTGATGAATGGAAGTTTGCTCTTTTGCTTTGTCATCTCATTGAAGAGACCACCTTCTAGCTGTCCTCACCCCCGTGACTTATATGTCCATTGCACCAGCTGGTCATTTGGGGTTTTGTAAGCCTTCCCCTAGTTTCCAGATGAGTGAAAACTCAAGAGCGGCTTCCTCTAAAAAATGTACTCCATCTCCATGTGGGACCATATTTGGGCTTCTCACCCTCCCAGTCCATAGTCCTGTTCTCTCCCTGTTCCAACTGGTTTTGACCCAACAGCAGGGTCTTTTGGAAAGTGTGTTAAGGTCTAAAGTATCTCAATATAATCTTTCAAGCCTGCAACTTGATAGAAATAGCCACTTCCAGGCTGGCTAGGATGCTGCCTCCTGCCATCAAACAGCACCTTGACTGTCAGGCAGGGGTTTTGCAGGATGCTGGACCTCTGTAGGAGCCACCCTCATGGCTTATGGCTACCTTGGGATGGCCAGCCTGAGGCCTCTCAGAGACTCAGTGGGGATGAAATTGTGTTTGTCCTTCCTGGGCTTTGAATCAATGCAGCAGCCAGATGGCTTCATTTCTCCACCCTCTTGGAGAACCTCCCTCCAGAAGGTTTGCTGTCGTGGGGACTGATTTCAGTGGCCCTTATTTACAGCCATGCAAGCAGGAGATAAGCAGTGGAAACCTGCTTAGGGTGGGTGAGCCCCTGGCTGGCGGGGCGGTCTCATCCTGCTCCCTCTGGCAGATGCGGATTGGCTTCCTGAGGCTGCAGGCCCTGTACCGATCCCGCAAGCTCCACAAGCAGTACCACATGGCTCGCCGGCGCATCATCGAGTTCCAGGCACGGTGCCGGGGCTACCTGGTCCGCAGGGCTTTCCGGCACCGCCTCTGGGCCGTCCTCACCGTGCAGGCCTACGCCCGCGGCATGATCGCCCGAAGGCTCTACAAGCGCCTCCGGGGGGAGGTAAGTACCGTGGAGGAGAAACGGAGATGGGGAGAGGGGAGAAATACATGCTTCTGCGTTGTGTGCTCTTGGGATCCAATTTTAAAGGGAAAAAAAATTTCCAAAAATAATTAGATGCCTACTCAGAAAGGCTCTTCTGTTTATTCCCACAGTATTATCGACGCCTGGAAGCAGAGAAACTTCGGCTGGCAGAAGAGGAACGACTTCGAAAGGAGATGAGTGCCAAGAAAGCCAAAGAAGAAGCAGAAAAGAAACACCAAGTACATGGGGACTGATCTCTTTGTGGGGTTCTGTCTGTTCTCCAGGAACTAGTTTTGCTTCTTTGAGAGGCAATGACAAAAATATCTAAGGGCTTTCTGCCCTGCTTGAGTGGTTTGTATTTAATTCACCAAAGTACTCTGTGCTCTATTATTTTGAGTCTGCTCCAGAATTTCTGATTTGCTGCCCAGGAATGCCAGAGATTATAGTTATTATTCACTTTTGCTATTGTATAAAGAGGGAACTGGGACACTCTGTGTGTGTGGACATGCAGGGCTGTTGTATAAAAGAAAAAAATTAGGTCAGTGAGAGTTTCTGTGCATGGACCAGCACCCCTAAACAGGCACTGGAATTTGGGAAAATGCATTGCTTTGTCCTTCTGCAGTTGGGAAACTGAGACATGGACATGTCACTGATTTGCTTCAAGTCATGATATGCCCTAAGCACCAGGCAGCCTGCCTTCCTAAATCCATGCCCTGTGGAATTTACTGCCAGCTCTTTGGAAGGAGCAGTTCAGTCATTGCACTTCTCCTTTTGCAGGTGCGCCTGGCCCAGCTGGCACGGGAAGATGCAGAGAGAGAAGTAAAGGAGAAAGAGGAAGCACGTCGGAAGAAAGAGCTCTTAGAAAAAATGGAGAGAGCTCGCAATGAGCCAGTGAATGACTCAGAAATGGTGGACAAAATGTTTGGATTCCTGGGGACAACCTCCTCCCTTCCTGGCCAGGAGGGACAGGCACCCAATGGCTTCGAGGTACTAGAGATGTACAGGAGCCTAGCTATCATATGACAGGCATTGGCAAAACATTAATAGATCAAGGAAGAGTACAGTAATAAAAAAGTGAGTCTCTGAAGGCTTCCTTCAAGGTCAGGCTCTCCTGTGTGACCCCAGAGGGTTATTGTGCTGTGGCTAGAGATGGGCAGGCATCCTGGCATCTTTCCCTGGGACTACCAAATAGAGGAGAGCACTATCGCTATTGGGTCATCAAGGACTTGTGGCCTTTGAGATCTTTCCTTTTAGGTTCATCGCAGCACATGGCATTTAGCTCTTAGGCATCCTTTCCTCATGATATGCGTAGGGCATGCTTGTTGTCTCTTCTACTGCTCTGGGGATATTCCTGGGCATAGGCATGTCCTTCAAAGCTTGGGCTTTGCATGGGCTCTCGAGCTATATTCCATGTTTTTCCTCCAGCTGACTTTTTGTTGTGGGATGGAAATCAGACTGGCAGAAAAGTCAGGCCCAAAGGGAAATGGCAGTTTGATATCCAAAGCCATGCTGAGTGTCTGACATTTCCTTCTACAACAGGATCTTGAGCAAGTCCAGAAGGAGCTGGAGGAAGAGGACCTGGATGCAGCATTGCCTCTCCCTGAGGAGGAGGAAGAAGACCTCTCAGAGTACAAATTTGCCAAGTTTGCTGCTACGTATTTCCAGGGCACAACAACACACACGTACATTCGCCGGCCCCTCAAGCAGCCTCTCTTGTACCATGAAGATGAAGGAGACCAGTTGGTGAGGCAGGAGATGAAAAACCTTGAGCAGGGCTGGGTGGGTTGGAGCAAACCTGGGTAACCCTCCAGCCAAAAGGAGTTTCCATTTTGGGATACACTCATCTGCTACACATGTGTCCATGGCCACTGTCCCACCAGTATGCTTTGAGTGCTGGTAAGACGGGGAATATCAGAGGGATCGAGCATTAAAGAGGAGGGTCCCTCTCTGTACCTTGGTGTTAAGACAATGAGGTGCTCAGGGCATGGGCAATGGAAATTGTTGCTTCAGTACCACTTGTAAAGATTCTAGGGAGCTGGAAAAGTTGCTTCTTACGTTGTCATAATCACCAGTGCAGAGCTAGAAGAGAACTGTTTGTCCCATAGCCAGCAGTACAAGAGCAGAAATGGATTGAACCTGCATGCCTATAATGCATATTACATTACCCATGAGCTTGCCTTCACTGTGGTTCTTCTTCCCCTGTGGGTCAGGAGTCAGTCCCTGCCTCTTGGTAAGTTTGGCATCCCCTGTCAAGCAGCAAACCCCTTGTAGGGTTCACAGACACATTGATGGTGGCACAAACAGAGCCACACAGAATGTGTGGTCCCAGCCAGCAGCCTGCCCAGCATTCAGAGAGGATATGTGCTGCAGGCAAAACTGTTATGTGTGGCACAAGGAAGTATTTTATCTCCTGCAGATGTACAGAGAGACCACTGTGGGGATCCTGATGGATTTAGCATTGCTGGACCACCCCCTCCACTGCCCTGGTGTGAGCTAACAGGCTGTGACTTTCCTTTCAAATAGGCGGCACTTGCTGTATGGATCACTATCCTGCGTTTCATGGGAGACCTCCCTGAGCCGAAATACCACACAGCCATGAGTGATGGTGGTGAGAAGATACCAGTAATGACAAAAATCTATGAGACTCTTGGGAAGAAGACCTATAAGAAAGAGCTGCAGGCTCTGCAGGGAGAAGGAGAGGTAACTGTGGCTGTAAAAGAGGTGTTGTTATTGTTAGGTCTTGGATATTGAAATGTGCTGGAAAGAAACAACTTGTAGGGTTTGCTGCAGGCAATCAGTTTGTTGATTTTATTTGCACTTATGCTATGAAGTGAGAAATGCCTGTGATCCTGTCCCTTCCTCACAGGGAGAACTGAATGTCCGCCAGCTGAATGTTCCCCAGTGAAGGAAGTGCCCTGATATCTCTCATGGGACTTTGATCTCTCTCCTCCACCCTGCAGGGCTAAAGTACAGGGGGGAATGCAATGTCCTATGTTTCTTATTTGGAGATTTCCTTTTGATCTGCCCTGAGTCAGAAGAGACTAAATTAAAAGTGTGCCCTTAATCTTGGAGCAGGAAGTAATTAGTTACCAGGAGATTAAGCTGTGGAAATAAAATTTTTTTAAAAAACCAAATCCCTATTGCATCCTGAGTGCCTTCTGGATGTCACTGGAGGATTTCATCTTAGTATCCTTCCCAGACAAAACATTATTCTGGAGAAATCAATGTCCACAGTGCTGATACATTTTCATCTTTGGCAATTGCTTTATTCAACGGGATGAGATATAATCTGCTATTGGCATCTTCTGGATGCCACTGTTCAGTTTTCAAGAAGTTTTCTTGACAAGTTGCTGTAGTATTTGCAGAGGTAAATTAACAAATCCCTTGTTCTTAAAATGATGATACCATTCAGCACTTCTAGTGAATTACCTGATGAGAGTAGCCTCAGTATCATAATTCTGTAAAAATATACACCAAGAATGACCTTTCATTTCTTCTGCCCATAGCTTCTTGCTTGTTTATTAGAAAAAGTTGTATTTTGGCCAACTGAGATATCAGGTAGTACAGAAGAGAAGGAAATTTAAGCTGTCCTTTTTGACTGTGGTTAAATCATTTCTTCACAGTACAAAAAGATGCCTGAGCAAAATGATATGCAAATCCAGGTTTACAGCACCAGCTCATGTTTATAATGGATATAAACCATCACAGCCACAGGACTTAAAGTGTCATTTAGGTGTGAAATTGTGGTCTTTTCAAAGCTGTTTAAATGGGTAGAGGTTAACTGGGCCTAAAAGTTTGCTATAAAAGCAGAAAGCCAGCAAGTAATTTGATGACATATAGTCAGTGCCTGGAGCTGTCCCACATTAAAGGTGTCCTTCTGGGAAACCTGACAGAGCACAGGACTGGTTAAAAGTTATAAAACCACAGTGAGTGGACTACCTGTCCATGAATCCCTGGCTAGATGACTTCCAGCTAAAAACCTGCTGTGCAAATGGATTGTCTCAGAGAGTGGTCTTGCTCATCTCATTTCCACTGTCATACAGCAGAACTGGATGGACCTGGGCTCAGCACAAATCAGCCATGTATTCAACAAACCTTTTTTCATATGTTCCCAATATATAATTTTGATCTGAGGGACCCTTACTGATTAGAGAGTATTTACAAAATTCAGAGCCAGCCCTGGGTTATCCAGAGGCTCAGGAATATGGGTCCAGACTTCTTGTTCCCAGTAGCCTCTGACACATCTCAGTCTCTGCTCAGGATTAATGGTCTTTTGCAGGAGCCCAGGGGAGGCAGAGAGAGCACCTGTTCAGCGCTTGCATCTCACCACTTTGCATCCCCTCCTCTTGCTTTGCAGAGTACTCATGTTGATGGGCACAAGAAGAACAGTGTGCGGCACAAACTGGTCTCCTTAACGCTCAAGAAGAAATCCAAACTGACGGAGGAGGTGAGGGGAGACGCTTGGCCGCCTGGCAGCACAAGTGCCGTTGGATTGTCTGCAGCCCTCTCTGACTCTCTTCTGCTTTTCCCTAGACAACATAGAACCAGCCCTCCTCTGGGTTTGGCGCTACCTGTCTCTCTGCCTGAAAGATTTAAGGAGTGTTTAAGGGGAAAGGTTGGCTTCCCGTGTCTCCTTGGGTCATTCTGCTCCTCGCGCCGGCCTCCCCTCGGCTCCTGTTCTCCATCCATCCAGCACCTTCCCTCCCCTCTTTCACAGCCCTTCATCCAGCTGCTGATACCTCTCACCACTCTGTGATGGTCTGATTGTTATCCCTGCTTTTAGTTTCCTGCCTGTAGATAGCAGAGATGGGGTCTCCAACAGCACTCTGCTCCACTCCAGTGCCAGGGACAAAACTCCCCATGGGAGCAGTTACCCCAGGCTGAGAGCTTTTGAGAGGTGCTATCTCAAAAGAGTGAGGAATGATAAATCTTTCAGGTGGGGGTGATGGAAACAATTGATAGACTGCCCATTTCCAGAGCAGGCACCATCTTACCTGGCTACAGCCTCTTGAGAGCATGAAGATTGCTCTGTGAGATATAACCTTAGGGGTCAGTGGGGAGAAACAGGGCCCAATCCAGCTTACCCTAATTGGCTCTGAAGATGCTCTAGAAATGTCCATCTCTCTAAATGGGGATGGGGTTGACTAGGTGGGACGGTGAGGCAGATAGCAGACAAATGCCATCCTTGTTTTCACAGACAGCACCATGCTTATGCAGTTTCAGCTGCACCATTAGCATGGGGAATGGGTCCATTTTGCCAGTGAAAACATTGATTATTATTTTAATATGATTAGAATAAAGGGACAGGTCCTTCTTGGCAATTAGATGGTTTATTCCAAAGATGCTTGGTGGCCCTCTCCCAGCAGCAGGACCAGCTCAGAGAAGGGATGCAAGGGGGTGCCATTGTAGAAACCCTGGGATAGGACCAAGCAGGTGGAAGTGTAACTAGACAGGACCATTTTTAATTTCATCCATACATGATAAAAGCCAATGCAGTCAAACCCTTCAATTCCCTTTAAAATCCTAGATTAAAGGACTTCTGAGAGCCCTCCTGGCTGGTGGAGGAGTCCTCCTGGGGGAGCACCACACACTTGGGATGGGGGTGGGGGGCCCACAGTGACTGGCTGTCCTGAAAGAGACCAATATGTTTGGTTGGCAGGTGACAAAGAGACTTCATGACGGTGAGTCTACACTGCAGGGTAATAGCATGCTTGAAGACCGACCCACTTCGAACCTGGAGAAGCTCCATTTCATTATTGGTAATGGCATCCTCAGGCCAGCCTTAAGGTTAGACATCAAAATAAAGGCATGAACATGCCATTCTTTCCATTCCTTCTTCCTTGAGCTTTTCTTGAGCTATTCAAACAAGTTTGATATTATCTGCAGCTTTACAAAGCTCTCGTTTCATTATTTTTATGGTTATGTTGTGTAATGCAAGCTAGGCTGGATCATGTTCCTTACTGCCTGTATCAGGCCCAATGGGAAGACCATGCAAACAGATTCAAACATTTCTGAAAGTCCTAATGACACTGGATTGTTGTTTTAAATGCCCACTCTTGTTCCTCACTACTCTGTTTTCCATTTGACTGTTGTATCTTTTTTGTTTGTGTGAATATTTTTAATGGTCTGCTAATGAAAAACTCAAACTCATTTCAGCTGCTAAATGAAGCATTCAGAAATCGGAAAGTGTCAAATGAAGGGCACTTGCTCATCTCTGGTTTAGCCAATTTATGTGTTTATGTTTATTAATAGAAGTTAGTGTTAAATAATTCCTCGTTTTTATTGTTTAACTTTTAATTATTTTTTTATTCCTATTGTAGGGATGAAATCTACTGTCAAATCTGCAAGCAGCTGACTCAGAACCCATCCAAAAGCAGCCATGCTAGGGGTTGGATACTGATGTCCCTTTGTGTGGGTTGTTTTGCTCCTTCTGAGAAGTTTGTGAAGGTAAATTGTAGATGACATTTGTCTAATGAATTATCTGTGTATTGGTATTGTCTAATGAATTATCAAATGTATTGGTATACATTTTCTTTTCCACTCATGGGACCAGCTTTTCTCTTGGGCTTCACAGTAGAGGGAATCCCAGTCTTTGCCAGAAATGAAGATGAGAGAGTTCCTAAGGAAACTGTTTATGATCCCAAGTTCAATGTCTAATGTCAATCAGATGAGTCACTCCTTAGAAGTGACTCTCTCTTTCCTGTGACTCTAAAGGTAATGTAGACAACCAAATTAACTGATGTCTCCTGCATGTAGATATGTGAAGATGTGATTAAGTGACTTCTGTTAGGAAATTTGTTTGTGGGAGCCTGCAGGTGGAATTCACACAACCAGAATAGCGTGCATTTCTCCTCTGTTTCTTGAATTCAAAGGTCTGTGCATTCAGCATTTACTGGCTTTGACAGTATGACCTCGGGCATCTGCTCTACCATAACTGGCAAGGAAAAGAGCACAGCCAATTACAAATATAAATTTATACTAAAAAAATGCACATGGAAAGGGAAGGACTTAGTTTACATGGAAGTACATTTGCAAAGGTGCTCTCTGAATGATGCTCTGTTCCCCATCATGTGTCATATTGAGAACATCCAATTCCAAACAGCCACATGAGATGACATGTAACCCATCTTCAGCAGCTCTGTGGATCAGCAGGACTGAAGTCAGTGGGAGATGCCAAGTGGCTGACACTTTAGAAAATCAGGTTGTTCTTAAGGATTTTCTTTTTCTTTTTTCTGGGTGAAGTTCTGTTGCCTAGATTTGAACGGTCTGCTTTCCAAATTAGTTAGAGAGTCATGGAATTGTTTGGGTTGGAAAAGACGTCTAAGATCAAGTCCAACCACTGCCAATCCAACCACTGCCAAGCCTACCACTAAAGCATGTCCACAGGTGCCATATCTGCATTTTTTTTTTATACTTCCAGGGATGATGATTCCACCACTTCCCTGGACAATTTGTTCCAGTGCCTGACTGGAAATAAAGATGTTCCATTAATTTCCATAGATATCAGATTAGGTACTGGGTGTTCAGCACTGAAAGAGCTGAAGCCAAGAATAGAAATGCCTCCTTCATCCCCAGGCCTTGTCAGTGTGAAATCTAATAAAGAAGATAAATCACTGGCAAAGTCACAGGAAATTAAATTATGTGTGGAAATGAGATCTGAAAAGTATGGTGCAGGAAGCTGTGTTGGTTTAAATCTTTAATAATAGAAGATTTCTTAAGGATAGTGAAGGACTTGTCAGAAATGTATAAATAGTTCTGGAGACTCAGACATAGAATCATACAACCACAGGATCGTAGAATCACAGAAGCATAGAATGGTTTGGGCTGGAAGGGATATTTATAAGTCATCTAGTTAAATCCTGCTGCCAAGAGGGCGTTCCTTCCACTAGACCAGATTGCTTAGAGTTCCATTCAGCCTGGCCTGGGATGAGGCAGACACAATTTTTCTGGACAACCTGTTCCAGTGCCTTACCCCACTCTCATAGCAAATAATTTCTTCCTTATGCCCAATCTAAACCTGCCCTCTTTTGGTTTAAAGTAACTTCCCCTTGTCCTGTCCTTCCATGCCTTTATCAAAAGTCCCTCTCCAGCTCTCTTGTAGCCCCTCCAAGTTCTGGAAGGTGCCCTAAAGTCTCCCTGGAGCCTTCTCTTCTCCAGGCTGAGCAACTCCAACTCTCTCAACCTGTCTCTATAGCAGAGGTGCTCCAGCCCTCTGAGCATCTTAGTGGCCTCCTCCAGACTTGCTCCAACAGCTGAACATCTTTGTTGTGTTGGGGGCCCCAGAGTTGGATGCAGCACTCCAGGTGGGATCTGGTTAGGGCAGAGCAGGGGGCAGAATTTCGCCCTGCTGCCCACGCTGCTGGTGATGCAGCCCAGGATACATTTGGCTTTCTGAGCTGTGAGTGCTCACTGATGAGTCATGTTGAGCTTCTTGTCCATAAATACCCTCAAGTCCTTCTCCCCAGGATTAGTCTCAATCCATTCTCTGCCCAGCCTGCGTTTGTGTTTGGGATTGCCCTAGCCCAGGTGCAGGAAATTGCTCTTGTCCTTGTTGAACTTCATGTGGTTCATGCAGGCCCAACTCTTAGGCATGTCCAAGTCCCTCTGCATGGCATCCATTTCCTTCTATGATTCTGTCGTTCAAAAGTATCAATTAGAACTGAACATTTTGAGAAGGATTTCACTGATAATGAGGCAGATCTTCAATATGTATTCCAGCTCCCAAATATTCAAGTTATGCTTTGGATCCCACCTTTAGCGTATCATGTGTTAAATATGGGTCAAGGCACATTAGCACTCCTGTTCTTTGCACCTTTCTTTCAACTAACAGTGGGTCTAGGTGGGAAGGTTCAGTCACAAGGGAGTAGGAATGTGAAAAAATATGTAATTGCATAGTTCATTATTAGCAATAGCATAATTAAACCTACGCTTTGACATTGCATCAACCATTTGCAATCATTTGCAGCAGATCTCTGCGGGGTGCGGAGGTTCAGGGACATCACACCATAACCAATATGATCCAGTGAAGCCAAATTTATTATGCCTAAAAAGACTATATCTATAATAAATCTCTACTGTCCATGCATCTCTAGCTAATACATGATTGGGTAATCCTAGCTGTTCACGCATCTAAAATAGAATGCTGATTGGATCACCTAATTTTTTGCACATTTTGCTGTGGTCATCTGGCCCACCCATGATTCACTTTTTTCTTACTTTCCCAAGCTTGCTGACAAACTTGCTGAGTCCTGATGACTCTTCTTCTTGTATCTTCTTCAAGGATATACTGACCCCATTTCTGAATATGTCCATTATTCAGTGTTTGTGAACGTGTCCATTGTCCATTAGTACAAGCAGGCTGGATTGTGCATCAGCTGAATATGGCCATTGTCTAGCAAGAACTCCTCAATCTGCAAAAAAATCTCAACAGATCTCATCCCTATAACCTACCTGTGTTACGTAGGTACTTCATAGTGTCTCTGTAAGTTAGGATTGACAGAGATATCTGTCTCTCCGGCCATGTTATTTATGGCTGACAGTGTTACAAAGCAGTCTGTGTTTCTGAAGGAATAGCTGTGTGTTATCATTCAGAGAACTCTTTCTACAAAAATTTTCTCTCTCAGAAAAAATTGGTTTACAGATTTATTAGTCTTTGTTAACATTTTGGCCAAGGTGTTTGTGTAAAATTTTTAAGTGTGTTATCTTTCATATTGTGGAAATCACTGGATTTAATTTTCTCTACAATAATGTGATTATATTTTTAACATACATTGAAGTGCTTCAAATTCTGTTTTAGGCCAAAATGCTATTTGAAATCTGACTAGGGAGATATCTGTTAATGTCACTGTGTTAATGACATCTTTTGTGCTGTCAGTTAAATGTTCTGAGTAGCATTCACTTACAATCCTCTGGAATCATTACTTACACATATTTTTTCATTTGCTCCCATCTTTTTGGCCAACATTCAATAACATTTTATAACACATCTTTAAAATACAAAGATAGAAATGACTGGCAGCAACAGCAGGAACAGAAGAGCTTCTGCTCTGGCTTCAATCAAAGGTCTATCTGGTCTGGTATCTTATCTCCTGTGAGGCCAGAAATGCACAGTAGAAGAACAAGGCAGGGGTGCAGACTGTCCTACTGCCTCTCAGCTTCCAGTGATGTGATGCAGGAACATCCAAGCCTGAGAGGTATCACTGTCATTAATCACAGAGGGCTTTTCTCCGATGAAACATTACTTTTTGCAAATGCTTGGCCTCTTAAGCCGAAGGTCTAAACAATGTGTTCCTTTCTGCCAACAGTATTTAAGGAACTTTATCAACGGAGGCCCCCCAGGTTATGCTCCCTATTGTGAAGAGAGGCTGAGGAGGACATTTGCCAATGGGACAAGGACACAGCCACCCAGCTGGCTGGAGCTGCAGGTATGAGCCCCTCCATGTCCTCCCCAGGGAACTGGAGCTTAGGGTTTAAGTCTTCCACTGTCACGAGAACCACATCTCTGTCAGGACAGAATGTGGGACAGCAGAATGCCTATTTCTGTCAACAATTTTCATGAACTTCCAACATATTGCATTCCCTGTACATCCTGGATGTGCTCCAGAGTATGTTGAAGATCAATCCTTTTGGCTGCATCAGTATTTGTAAAAGTGTGCTGTTGGCATTGAGTCCAGCTGGCACAGAGCAAGCCCCTGTGTGTTCAAAAAACTATCTTCCAGATGAAAGTGGCTGCAGGCATGCTGCCTCCCATGAGTGGTCCCTGGGGCTTGTTTGGGGATAATTATAGCTGGAACAGGCAGTTTGAGCAAATTTGCTCATTTTCTAAACTGGTCTGCAAGCATAACTGGTCTGCAGCACACTGTGTTCCGGTGTCCATGAGCATTCCCAAGCATGCTTTTATTTTCTGGATTGGACACCTTGATGACTGAATGTAAATAAAATATCTGTGACTTCCAAGTGCTTCCACTGGCTGACTGTACATTATCCTGTTGACAAATATGGTGTGGTAGCACTGAAAAGCAGCCAGTCAGTGGGATCAGGAATTAGTAAGTGGTTACCAGAGTGGGGTGGAGGAGTATGCAGGTAAATAGTATTGAAATACACGTAACATTATAAAGTTTGACTTTAATCCTTTAGGCAACCAAGTCCAAGAAACCGATCATGCTGCCTGTCACGTTTATGGATGGCACAACAAAGACACTGTTGACAGACTCTGCAACAACTGCTAAAGAGCTCTGTAATTCTTTGGCTGACAAAATCAGCCTGAAGGACCGATTTGGCTTTTCGCTCTACATCGCACTTTTTGACAAGGTACATCTTAACTTCTGTTCCTGAATAGTTCTCGGAAAGAAGGGGGAGATTCTTCTGGCTGTCACATAACTTCCAGAAGGCAGAGGGATTATTTCTACAGTGCAAGTGTCAGCATAATTTTCACAAAAATAGTAGTCAAACTCTGCAGCTGGGTTGTAGGAAAATCTCTCTCCTCTGAATATCCTTGGAGATACTCAGAATTTAACAGGAAAATGCACAGAGAAACCCATTCAAAGATGCACCTGTTCTGACTAGTCTGGTGGATCAGAAACCTTCAGAAATTCCTTTCCTCCTACAAGCTTATGTGATGCTATTCTCTTACTCTCAGTTAAGCTTATTAGAGATGAATTTCCAGTAAAACATCTTACCTGGATTTTTATGCAAGGGAGCCAATTAAATTTAATTGGAAAGCTAACAGTTGAAATTAAGCTTCTGTAATGAGATAAAATCCAAACTGCCGTGCCTGCATTGGCATTTAACCTGCTTTATTTGACCTGAAAAAACATATTTCTCAGAAACTCTGTTAAAATAAAGGTGAACATAAATGAGAGGGGTAAAGCTTCATCAGATGAGACAACAGCTGCAAATCAATGAAACTCAAGTATACCAAGAGCTGCTGTATAAGAGGATGAAGTATATTCTCACTTACAGATGTGGCCACCTCTGCCTCTAGGTGGGAAAGAAAATGGTTTACACTCTGTATTCTTCATCTTTTTTGAGGAGACATTCAGCAAAGGATGCTAAGTCTGAGGAGATGTAGTGCTTTGGGGGCTTCATGGCAGACCTCAGTGAGGAGACATGTAAATTTCTGTAACAGGACAGACTCTTTTATTCTGGGTTTTTCTGATGCTTAGCTAGGTTGGATCCAAGTCCATGACTTTGAAACAGCACATTTCAAAGCACAGTATGAATCAACAATAGTTTAAAATGGGACCATTGGCTTTGCTGAATCATGTTGATGCTCTTCTTTCAGTCTGGATGGGAAGCTGGAGCTCAAAATAGAATGGCTCACCCAGCCATGCTGCAGGACTTGGCTGGCTAGATGACATAAAACCATTGATTATTTTTATTATTTTGATTATAAAGGTAGTCTGAGCAACTCAAAAATAGATCTCTATACCTAAAACAGTCTGCATTTGTTCAGGTGAATGGCACATTTCTCTCTGCCCTGCCTAGGTGTCCTCGCTGGGGAGTGGCAATGACCACGTGATGGATGCTGTGTCCCAGTGCGAGCAGTATGCCAAGGAGCAGGGAGCGCAGGAGCGCAACGCACCGTGGCGGCTCTTCTTCAGGAAGGAGATCTTCACCCCCTGGCACAACCCCAGTGAGGACAACGTGGCCACCAATCTCATCTACCAGCAGATCGTGCGAGGGGTGAAGTTTGGGGAGTACCGGTGTGACAAGGTATGCGACCTCAGCAGCTCCCAGTCTGCTCCAACAAGTATCTTTGAGGTGGTGAAATAGGTTACCATGAAGGGCATGATAAATATTCCTCCCTGGACACCCATTAGCTTGAGCATTATGGTACTCACTTGGAAAACAGGAGCTACAGCAGTCAGATCCTCTTGACTGGGCTTGGAAGCTTCCATGTGCTGCATGAGCATTCTTAACAATGAACATGGTAGGGCTTAATCATAGCTTTCAGTGGTCAATATCCTGAACTTCAGATGTGCAAAAGGTGAAGTTCTGCCAAAAGAAGCATCCCCACACAATTATGTAGTACACCCAGCCTCCACCACATGCTTCTTGAGTGGTGGAGGATGGATGTTGTGATGACTTGGTGACAGCATTAACTTGATTTATTTGGCTCCCACAGGAGGAAGATCTGGCAGAACTGGCTTCCCAGCAGTACTATGTGGACTATGGGTCAGAAATGGTACTGGAAAGGCTGCTAAATCTAATTCCATCCTACATTCCAGACAGAGAGATCACAGCTTCAAAAACAGTGGAAAAATGGGCTCAGCTCATTATAGCTGCACATAAAAAGGTGGGGACAATAGATCACCTGTCGAGGACCACATCATGTTTCAATAGCTTCATTTGCCTTTTAAACACGTGTCAGACATCATAGCTCAGCTCTTAGCCTGGCCTGAAGGTAAAACTGTGAGAAAGGGCAGGGCTTGTACTAACCATATTCAGCTTTAGCACTGTTTTTTATGCAAGATCTGACAAAAGACATCCTCAAAAGATTTATTCTGAGATGCAAAACACCATCTCTGGGGTGACATTCCTGTTACACAAGACTGTGGTGTTACCGGTGGTATTACAGAGGTGGTTCATGTCTCTGGGTAATGTCAGGGCTTTATTGTGCCAAGTATTGTATAAAACCTCCCTGGCTTCAATTAGAACATTTGTGACACTCTCACACGACAACACTTCCCATAACTCATTACCCAGTACTCATGACCACTCATGAGGGGTGATGTTCCTGGCATGAGCATGGGCATTCGTTTAACATCAGGAGCCAGCTTCAGATCAGGATCCCTACTATGTAAACATCTCCATGTGCATAGGGAGTCTCACCTCAACTTAACTGTCAGTGGAGACACAGGGATTCACTTGGATCCTGCACATCCCCCATCAGCCTGTCAGCTTTGTACAGAAGTGTCAGGTGTCTAAGGATGCCCTTAATAAGAGGCTTAAGGGATGAGTGTCTGCTTCCAGCCAAAGGAATGTCAAGCTGAAAAGCAAACACTTACTTTAGGGAAACCCACAGTCTAGTGAGACAAACCTCACTGAGACTGGTCACTCCAAATGCTTTCCCAGCTTTCTCCAAGTCAAATTATTCCATAAAGTGGGAACTGAAGGCCAGGACTTTGACCAAACTGTCACTTGTTCCTGTAGTAGTTTGGCCCTTAGCCCCACTGAGACCTCCATTAATATTTGTTCCAAGATCTTCAGGTTACATGGATTGATTTTTCCTTGCTCTCTTCCTGGATATAACTATGTTTTGCTTCATGTTCATTGTGGTTTGCTTTTTTCTGTAGGGAATTTATACTCAGAAGAGGGCAGACCCAAAAAAGGTCAAGGAAGAAGTAGTGGATTTTGCACGTTTCAAGTGGCCTTTGCTGTTTTCTCGGTTTTATGAAGCCTTCAAATTCTCAGGTGAGTCAGTAGAGCACATCCCCAGAGCACAAGATGCTCTAAAGCAAAAGGAAGGAGAGATGGGGATTCCAGAGACAAGAAGGGGACCATCCAGCTGGTCTTTTTTGGACACATTATTTTTTGTTGCATCCTGATTAGCAATGGCTCAGGCTTTCGGTCTACCACTATTTCTCTCCCTTAAAAAACACAGAGCTTTTTGATCATTGCATCCTCCTTTGAAACATTTTCTGTATCCTAAGACCCTTCATGAGCTGATTGAGTGTCTTGTCTTAACCCCAGGGCCAAGCCTGCCTAAAAATGATGTGATTGTAGCTGTCAACTGGACAGGGGTGTACTTTGTGGATGAACAGGAGCAGGTTCTCTTAGAGCTCTCTTTCCCAGAGATCACAGCTGTGTCAAGCAGCAGGTAAGGAGGAATAGACTGGGCTGGCAATCTCACCATAGATCAGTCTTTTTTCAGGTTTTGCCTCTGGATTTCATTATGTTTCATGTTTTTTTCTCCTATAAAAATACATCCCAGAGGAGGAAAGCTGCAAGGGCAGAGTTTCACCCTGGCCACAATTAAAGGTGATGAATACACTTTCACCTCCAACAACGCAGAGGATATCCGGGACCTGGTGGTGGCATTCCTTGAAGGACTAAGGAAACGATCCAAGTATGTGGTCACTCTCCAAGACAACCCAAATCCAGGCAAGTAAATAGCCCAGCTCAATGGTAAACATAATATTCCTGAGGAATTTGGAAGAAAAAAAAACAGTTCTAACCAATGGTTGCATTTTTTGCAGTGGGAGAGGAATCTGGGTTCCTCAGCTTCCTTAAAGGAGACCTGATAGTTCTGGACCAGGACACAGGAGAACAAGTGATGAACTCGGGGTGGGCTAATGGGTTCAATGAACGGACCAAGCAGAGAGGGGATTTCCCAACTGATTCCGTCTATGTCTTGCCTACCGTCACCATGCCTCCGTTGGAGATCGTGGTAAGCAGTCTTACGGAATTGCACACCTTGGTACAATGTCCAGGGAAGTCAAAGCCTTCATGGAGTGCTTAGATCTGGCCCAAGTCTCCCTGAACGTAAGGCAGAAACCAAAGAGGATGAGAGAGGTAACAAGTTGTCCAAGGCAGAAGTGATCTCAGCCTTTCTTCTTATCTTGGCACTTAGGACACCACAAACTTGTGACTTGGAATGTCCATGAATTGTGCTAAATCCTTTCAGCTGGCCTGGCTGCTTAAAGGTGTGTTTGTGGTTGGAGGGAACTGCTACATTCACATGTGGAGCTGTAGGTTCCAGAGCACATTTTCTTCCTTAGGAAGTGATCAACACTATGGAAATACTTGTTATTCCTTGCATCAGTGACTGAGAACGGTACAGAGAAATGACAACTGCACAGTTCTAACTGACTGTTAACAGGAATTGATGGATTATTCTCATTTTCACTGTTCTTGTTTTGTATCTGCTTCCTCTCCTTGAATACATCAGATACCAGGTAACAGAGAGTTTTTCATCCCACAGGCCCTGGTCACAATGACTCCTGACCAACGACAAGATGTTATCAGAACCTCTCAGATGGCAGTTTCAGACAGTGAAGAAAGAGTAAAGCCATACACCTTGGAGGAATTTTCCTACGATTATTTTAGGTGATTTTTTTTAACCATTCTCAAAAATTATAGGACTCCATCTGCAGGTAACTTGGGAATCAGGAAAATTTTCCTACTGGGAAAAACTCTGAATACCCCATTGTGTGACTTTGTACAACTGCAAGCTCTGGTTTAGGTCATGGCATTTGAGCTGCAGGTTTTCCACAGACAAGGTTTTATAAAGGATTTCTTCTCAGCAGAGGTGTAGCAATTTGAAATTTAATATTATGTAGGAGGATGTTCTTAAGGCTATATAGGCATTTTCATCTCAGCTCCAAAAATTTAAATGTGCACCACTGCTGAATGCAGCTGACCAAAGCTCCCACTTCTGTTTGGATGGGCTGGCAATCCAAACAGGCAGATCAGATCCTCTGAGATGTCTTCCCCTTGTCAGGCTTATACTGCTAGGTAATATTCTTTCAGTGTGGCTGCCTGACCATTCATTGCCATCATCCTTCCTGTGGCTAGAAGCTTTTAGGGGTGGGGTAGGTGATTGTGGTGTCATTAATGGAGTAGGGTCTACAAGAGACTCTCCTGAGCCATAGGAGAGTACAAGTGGTTCTCTTTGAGCGGAGCTTGACCTGGATACTTGCTAAATCGTGATGTCCCTTTTGATGTAAGAGTTCATTAGCCGGGTGCTGTGAGCAACCATACTAGGTGAAACATTGGCCATAAGCTGTTCCCATTATCCCTGTAATCTCTCCATCTCTTGCTTTGTATTTGCCACCAGACCACCTCCAAAGCACACCCTCAGCCGGGTCATGATCACCAAGAGCCGTGGAAAGGACAAGCTGTGGTGTTACACCCGCGAGCCCATCAAACAGCCACTGCTGAAGAAGATCCTGGGCAGTGAGGAGCTGTCCCAAGAAGCCTGTATGGCCTTTATTGATATCCTTCCTCTGCTTGGGAGTCCCCTTGAGCAACAGGTCTGACAGGCAAAGAGCTGAACCGGCTCTTTAGGGCTCCGAGCAAAGCCCAAAGAAAGGTTTGAGGTTCCTCTTAAGGGCTGTGGGACCATGCCACAGGCTTGGAAATGGGTCTGCGCCACAAATCTGTACCTTAAGCATCCTTGAAATCTGACACATGTCTACTTCTTAATCAGTGAGGATTCAGGGACCAGTTATTGAGTCCTGCTGGTCCACACACACTGACACTGTTCTGTCTTGGTTCAGCTGACTCTCTTCCAAATGCACCTGCTGTGGATAGCCACAGCCCTCATCAGTCCACATGGCCTTGGGGAAAGAGTTTGATGCTGAATATATTCCTTTGCAGCCACTTCTGTAGTCATGTGTAGGATGTCTTTAACAATGTCATCAACAGAGGGCCTTCACCAAATATCCCAGTTAGCTCATCCTTGACTCCTACCTCCCACCTGTGCTGAAATATATGGGTGACTACCCATCCAAAAGGACCCGCTCAGTCAATGAGCTGACAGACCAAATATTTGAAGGTGCCTTGAAAGCCGAACCCCTAAAGGATGAAATCTACTGCCAGACCCTCAAGCAGCTCACAGACAACCACATCAAGTAAGAGCTCTTTGTTCCACTTGGTCCAAATGCACTAGACTGTGTTGGGCAAAGCAGATCTGAAGTGTCCATGCCACGAGTGATTTTCTTTTCCTCCTGGGTCTCTTCTTGTGCAGATACAGTGAAGAGAAAGGCTGGGAGCTGTTGTGGTTGTGTACAGGCCTTTTCCCTCCTAGTAACATCCTCCTGCCCCATGTCCAGAGGTTCCTGCAATCCCGGAAACATCACCCCTTGGCAGCAGACTGCATCCAGAGACTCCAGAAAGCCTTGAGGTATGGCACTGAAAGACCTCCTAGTCCTGACTGTACCACAGCTTCCAAATATGGGTGAAAAAATACAACTGGGAGATATTTTGGTGTCTGGGGGCACAGTGAAAGCTCACAGCCTCTCTCTGTTCCACCAAACTGATTAAAAGGGACGTTGGGTTTCTGATAAGCAGTGCAGAAAAATAGAAATTAATCAACTTCATCCAGGTCCATTTCAGTCACTTTCTTCTTTTTTGGAAGAAAAATAATATTAAGAAAATGGCTGAAGTTACTCAAAAGGATATGCATTAAAAGGGGAAGATTTAAAAAGGATTCTTGCTATGATGATGCTGTGACACTTGCCACCTCCTGTTTTGCAGGAACGGATCCAGAAAATACCCACCCCATCTGGTAGAAGTGGAAGCCATTCAACACAAAACGACCCAAATTTTCCACAAGGTTTACTTCCCTGATGACACCGATGAGGTAAATGGGGGAGAAGGAAATTCTTTTCTGTCAGGATGGTTGTCAACTTTCTTATTCTCAAAAATCTCAGAAGAGGCTAATATTGGTTCTGATTCAGAAAAGCTCAGCCTTTCCAGAAGCCTCTGGGCCAAAGCGTAACAAGGAAGATCCATCCTTGTCTACTCAGATTTGTTGTGAGCTGTGTTTTTCAAGACATGGGTGCTTTGCTGGTGTTCACTGGAGGCTTTAGAGTATGAGTGCAGAAAGAGGGAAACTGGATGGGCTTATCCATTCACTCACAGTAGCTCACAGGCCTTGGCTCTCAGTTATTTGGAGTGTAACCAACAGATATTGTCCACCCAACAATACCCAAAGGGGTACCATGATGGGCCCCCTTGGGAAATGGGCAGACTATTGCAGCACTGGCAAGCAAGTGACTGAAATTATCCCCTCTGACCTGAGATGACACAGAAATGATACCTGCACTCAGGAAGCTCTCACTAAGCATCTTACATGCTGGTAAGGCAGCTGGTCGTATTGATGCCAGCACAGATAGGCATGTCCTTGCAGATACTGCTGTCTCACCTACTGATTGGTCTTCCTATGAGGCTCACATCTCTCTCTTCCCTCATACCCCTGGGTACAACTAAATTTCTGTATTTCCAAGTGGGTTTATTTGTAAAACAGTCCACACCCATGGAAGGAAAAGGATGATTCCTCAGCAGCAGCTGGGAGTGCCCTTGTTTATCTGTAAAGGAGAGCTGAGGGAACTCTTGGGATTTCTCATCACTTTGAGTATTTTTTCCTACATGACCAGCATTGAGCATGACACTACTTCATACACATGCATCTGCGTGAGAGCCAGTAGGAGGAGGATGTGGGGATTTCTACACTTGGATGGGTTTGCTGTGATCTTTTTGGCCATGGAAGTCACCAGGTGGAGAGAGTGGCATCATTCCAGTACAACATGCATCTGCACTGGTGGGGTGCTGAGCATTAGCAGCGCTGAACCCCACATCAGACTCTTGTGGGATGTGGAACATGGGTCCTGGTAGTTTGGTGGTTCAGTGGTGGTCAGAAGCTTAAGTTCCTTAAACTGCTATGAGCTGAATCTCATTAAGTGGGCAGAGCAGAACTGAGGCAATGTAAATGCTGAGCACAGCTCAAAAGGCAAAACCAGAATTGGAATGTGCATACAAATGGGACAGACCTTTAAACATCCCATGCTTTAGAAATCGATAAAACAGGAATAATTTCCCCTCTATTCAGCTATCTAGAAACAGGCATCTGGCTTAGACCTAGTCTAAGCCAGGCATCTGACTTCCTCATCATCACTGGAGAGGCAGGACAAATCAGCCTGGAGATCTCTCACTCTGTCTTTCCCACCCCTCTTTCCTCAAGCAAATAGTTCTGACACTTTACTGTTAGATCAGAAAAATCTCTTGCATTGCATGGAGAGCTCTAGATAAGCCAGCACAGAATATAGATACAGCATCACAAAGCGCAGTGGTACAGCAGTAGCATGACAGAGCTTCTGCAGACATCCCTTCAATGCCCAGAGTCCCAGTCCACAGTGTCACTGATTTCACTGGTGGTGGGCATCTAAACCCCTTTTTGGACATCTAAACTCCTTTGTGCATGTGCACCTGGAGGTCCTCAAAGAGAGCAAAAAGTGGAAATTAACCCTTAGATGGCAGTGGTGATCTTCCTCTCTTTGTAGGCATTTGAAGTGGAATCCAGCACGAAAGCCAAGGACTTCTGCCAGAACATCTCCAACAGGCTGCTCCTGAAGTCCTCTGAGGGCTTCAGCCTCTTTGTCAAAATCTCCGACAAGGTGAGTGACCCACCCAGGGGCTGAGGTAGCCCTGAGGTACCCAGGACAACCTGCTTGCCAGTAGGTGCACATTGCTGGAGCCAGAGCCATGTGGTGAGAAGCATTTCTCTGCAAGCTGTGTGGCATTCCTAAGTCAGATCTGACCTGATGCAGGTGAGGTTTGCAGTCCCACAGCCCTGACTTACAGCAGTCACCCCAAAGGACTTAAAGCACAGACAGGCAAAGCTCTCCTAGCCTGTTCCTGAGTTGGGTTTATAAGAAAGGACTAAGTAAGAAAAATGTGCAGCTTAAAGCTGCCTCTAGCAACTGGGAGAAATCTATGGAGATAGTCATCAGGAAGGGAAAAGAAGGGTTGTGGTGGTGAAACAAGTTGCAATAAGGAGTAAGTGGTGAAATTAGAGGCAGAGCCTGAAGCAAGGTGCTGGCATTGGCTTTCTCACATCAGCAGTTCATAACACATCAGTGTAAGAAGTGCAAAGCAGTGAGCACAACCACAGGAGATGGGCTGGGCAATGGCCAACCCTGCCTGTGGAGTCCTGCCACTTGTTTGGGGCACCTCAATATAAGAAGAAAATAAAGCTGTTAGAGAGGGCTATTGCAATGGTGAAGGTCCTTGAGGGGAAGGTGTGTGAGGAGCAGCTGAGGTCACTTGCCTTGTTCAGCCTGGAGAAGAGGAGACTGAGAGGAGACCTCATTGCAGTCTGCAACTTCCTCATGAGGGGAAGAGAAGGGGAAGACACTGATCTCTTTTCTGGGGTGATCAGTGATGGGACTCAAGGGAATGGCGTGAAGCTGTGTCAGGGAACATTTAGGTTGGATACTAGGAACCTTTTCTTCACACAAAGGGTGGTTTGGCACTGGAGCAGGCTCCCCAGGGCGGTGGTCATGGCACCAAGCCTAACGGAGTTCAAGGAGTATCTGTACAATGCTCTCAGGCACATGGTGTGATTCTTAAAGATATCCTATGCAGGACCAGAAGATGGACTTTGATGATCTTTCTGGGTCTCTTCCAACTCAGAATATTCTGTGATCCTACTGTATGACTTACTTGCTCAGCCTTTGTGACTATGTGCTGTGTCCCTCAGGTCATCAGTGTGCCGGAGGGAGATTTCTTCTTTGACTTTGTGAGACACCTGACAGACTGGATAAAGAAAGCAAGACCAGCAAAAGATGGTAATGATGATTTTTTTCCCAGCATGGGTCACACACAGCCTTCCTACTGCCCTCCATCCCTTTCAAACGAGATTGACCACATAGTCTGCCACAAGCATTGGAACAGGCTGTTCACAGAAGTGGTGGAAGCACTGTCCTCTAGTGTTCAAAAAAATGTAGGTGTGGTGCTTAGGGACATAGTTTCTGGTGCTCCTGGCAGTGTTAGTTTAATGGTTGGACTCAATCTTATAGGTCTTTTCCAACTTCAGTGATTCTGTGATCCTGTGATCTGTTGGGCCACACTGATGGGAGTGGTGCTCTCTGCACCATCCCTGGGGACATCACCTGGGAGGTGATCCATCCAGGAGCAGCAAAACCTCTGCTCCAAGGCTCTTCCTGGCCCCTGTGAGAAGCACCTGTTGGAGGCCATCTTTCCAGGCAGTGCCTGCAGGAAGGTTTCAGTGGTGGGATTCATGTCACTTCACTGACCACATCCAAAGTGGAACTGGCTGCAGCTCTGCTGAATTTACCAGTGGCTGTAAGACACAGGTGACTCCAGGGTACAACTCCTCTGTCCTGTGTTAGGCATGGGTGCTATCAATGAATTACAGTTGTGCAAGTGAACCCAGACACTTTTCCCACCTTATTAAAGCCTTGCATGGCAGTGACGTGGTTTGTTCTGCAAAGTCAGAGCCCAGTTGGCCTGGTGAATGCCCCTGTCCCTGCAGGCTGTGATGGCACATGGGCACTGCTGGATGCAGACACCAATTCCCAGCTGATACTCACACCAGCTGTTATGTTTGCTTCACTTGCACAGGTATAGTGCCTTCCCTCACCTACCAAGTGTTCTTCATGAAAAAACTGTGGACCAACACAACGCCTGGAAAAGACTCGATGGCAGACTCAATCTTCCACTATTACCAGGTGCGCCAGGACTCTGCAGTAGCAATGGAGACTTGGGATGGATTAGGAGTAGGTTGCAAAGGCTTGTCCATCTGCAGATGTTCCCAGGCAACAGCTTCTTAGCCAGGGGCCTGGATACCTCCACAAACTCCATTTAGCATGTGAGGGTGAAGGTGCACAGACATGCTCTCTATCTTTCTGCTGTTCTTTCCTCCGTGCAGGAGTTACCAAAGTACCTGCGTGGCTACCACAAGTGCTCACGGGAAGAGGTCCTGCAGCTGGCAGCTCTCATCTACCGGGTCAAGTTTGAGGATGACAAGTCCTATTTCCCCAGCATCCCCAAACTCCTGAAGGAGTTGGTGCCTCAGGACCTCATCCGGCAGCTCTCTCCAGATGACTGGAAAAGGGTAAACCAGCAGCTTGATTCCTAGACCAGGCCTGGCTGGGAGATGCCCAGTCTCTCAGGTGACTTGTCCAACATTCAGTGTTGAAGTTGGACTACCAAAATCAGTGACACCTGGTCCTTCTGGAGCCTTATCAGAGCTTCAGCTTCCCTGGCACCACTAAGGAGAGATTGTACATGCATGTTCACATACACATACCTTGCCCTGGGTTTTCTTGGCCTGAGACTGGCTGTACTAGTGGATGCAAAGCCAGATGGAAACAGGCTAAGAGATGTTCTTTTGAAGAGGTGGTCTGTCATTTAATGCAAACTACTGAGTAAAGGGTAAATTCTTCTTGCTTTACACAGGGAGAGCTGTGGCACAGGTGCAAACAGGTCTAGCCTTAACATATTAGAAGTATCTCACTGCCAAGAAATAGTCCAATAAGTGCTTTCTGTTTCCTATCTGATATCAGGATCCTTGGGCTGAAGGTCTCTCAGTCTTTTCTGCTGCATAAATTGGATAATCACAATTTATAATCTCTTTAATGGAGTCACCAGCTCAGCTTGTTTAAAAAGGACCTACCTTGGTTCCAGGCCCTGCTCCGGTGACCAGCCAGCATATTTTTGAAGTGTTATTGGAACAGAGGCTAGAATCAAACATCAAGGTCAGGTTGGGCAGGACCCAGAGCAAGCTGCTTTAGTGGAAGGCAGCCCTATCCACTGCAGGAGAGCTGGGCTAGATGACTTTTCAAAGGTCCCTTCCAATCGAAACTCTTCTATGAGTCTGTCATTGTGGAACTGATGCTCCTTTCCTGCAAACATCCCTGGTGCCAGGTACTGCAAACCCTCCATCTCTGTTGTGTTCTCTGTTGCAGTCCATTGTGGCATACTACAACAAACATGCAGGCAAAACGAGAGAAGAAGCCAAGCTTGCCTTTCTAAAGATTATCTTCAAGTGGCCTACATTTGGATCAGCATTCTTTGAAGTGAAGGTACCTGCCCTGGGGGTTCTCTGGCAGCTTTTATCCAAGATCAGGAGCCCTGTACTACCTACAGAGGGGTTCCAGATGTGAACCAGACTGGGACAATCCTGATGAAACAGGGAAAAATGTAATACTCTTAATTGGAAATGTGAAAACACACTCGTTCATTGCTGCTCTGCCTTTTTACCCAGACAGAAGCATTGTAGAGCTTCAGCATATCTCAGTCATTGGGGCTGTTCCCACAGCTGTGCTGCTGAACACACAAGAGCTCTTCTCTGTTTTACCAAGGCAAAGGGGAACCTGTTTTTTTTCCCAAGGGATGTGTCTGTACCCACCACAAACCAAATCCAGACCACCCACCATGGCACTACAGTTCCATCAAGGACAGTAGAAGCCAGTGCTGTCAGGAGAAGACAGGGAGAGAGGAAACAGGAAGGAGTCTGATTTTGCTTGACATCCCCTAACCAGTTCATCTCTTTTCTGACAGCAAACTACAGAGCCAAATTATCCAGAAATCCTTCTAATTGCCATCAATAAGCATGGAGTCAGCCTCATTGATCCCAAAACCAAGGTAAGCAAAACTTGGGCATTCACCAGATGCTCCTGAGCCCAGTCCCCAAGCCCTCACAGAAGACATCCTAAAGAGCGTGTTGTTCAGTACTTAGAGAGTTCTCTTTAAGCCAGGTTAGAAAGGCTGGATAGACAGAAAATTTTCTGGAGGCAGAAATTCACTGTTGCACAGAGCCAGCCCAGACTTTTTCAACAAAATGTGGATTGAGAGCATCAACTATTAGGGCCCTGTGCCTGGAGGATGCACACACTCCTTCCTTAATCCTTTCACAGGCAGTAGGACAGGAGTTGGAGTAAATGAGATCCTACCAGTTACTTCCAACACCTGCATGGCCATTCTATTGTAGCAGTCCTCCACAAGCTCTGGAGGATCTGGAGTCTTGATCTCACTGCCATTCCCATGAGTCTCACACTAGACATCCTTGGCCTGCTGTGATGGAAAGTGAACAGGGACAATGAGAAGTGTCCACAGCCCCTCATGGAAGTTGAGGTTCTCTTGCATGTTGAGTGTCAGTTTTGTGTTCCCACCAGGATATTCTCATCACTCACCCCTTCACCAAGATCTCCAACTGGAGCAGTGGCAACACGTATTTCCACATAACCATTGGCAACTTGGTGAGAGGAAGCAAGCTGCTCTGTGAGACCTCCCTGGTAAGAAGCATTAAACATTAGAACAAATCCTGACTTTGGATTTGGCAGCAAATTGTGTCTCAGGAATTCTCTGGGCTGAAAGTGGTGTCTCAGAAAAGCCGCTGATACACTTTTTTCTTCTGAATTTCCCATGGCTCTGCTCAATGAATCAAGGCTCTCACTTGGTCCATCATCCAACTAACAAGCAAGCCTAAGGTGCTTGGGATGTTGCTGTGTCAGGAGCATGAGTGACTGCTCCCTATAACTAGACTGAAAAACACATTAAAGCTGATATGGGCTCAAGGGGTATTCCTGAGCCCTTTAACCAATACCATTTACCCAGCTTGTCCCTAGTAACAATCACAGCAATAAACCTTCTCCTAGACTATCTTAAACCCAAAGCACAAAGGATAAAAATTCCTTTTGGATTGTTACTAATCTGAGGCATTCAGTAGTTTGTTGGCCATTTGAAAATTTATGTCCTATCCAAAGCCCCCTATGTCCTCAGCCTCAGCAGCATCCTGGGACAGGGAGCTCCTTCATCTCAAAGTTGCAAATTATGTTTGGACAGTGTTCTTTGTGGTGGTGACATTTCACCCAAGGAAAATGGTGGAATAGGTCAAAATGTACCTGAAAATTTGACTTACACTGGCAAGGCAAGAACTGGTAGCCAGTGTGTTCAGGAGGCTCAAACCAGAGACTGTAAGCTGTGCTCTGGAGGCTGGTAACATCTTCCCTCTCCTCCTCAGGGGTACAAGATGGATGATCTTTTGACCTCGTACATCAGCCAGATGCTAACAGCCATGAGCAAACAGAGGAGTGCAAAGGGTAGCAAGTGAACTGCAAGAAGCCACTGGCACATGGTCATGGGGCTAATTCACCAGCTGAGGGCTGTTGGATACCCATGCAGCTGGGCAAGAAACTTTGCCTCCCAGATGTGGAAGATGAGCCGAACACCATCAGGGAGTTCAATGGACTCTGACCTTGAGGGCTCCAATCCCACCTCCCCTTCCAGCGAAGATGACTATCTCTGACCTCCTACTCACCTTCCTCACCCTGCATCCCAACTCAATCCTGCACCTCAAAGATTTCCAGGGGACACCACTGCTCTCGGAGAGTGACCAAGGCAAAGACACTCCAGCAGGAGGTCACAAAGGCTCTTGGATGAGGATTTTTGTGTGTGTGTGTGTCTGTGTGTGTGTGTGGCTTGCTTTGTTTTCATTTGTTGCTCTTTTCTTAAATATGAGAGCTGTTAGGATGCTAACATGTTTTTGGTGAAGTTCTGGGAATTTCAGGTTTGAAGAGGAATCAGCGAGCCCTAACCCATGCTGGAAAGATGTCCAGTGAACACTGCAGGGCTTGTTTTTTAGTCATTACAAAAGAATACACTGTGTTCTTAAGATGTACAGAAAGAAAAAGCAGGCAAGGAGGAGCACATTTTAACTAGGAATCAGAATAAACAAACTACTGATCGAACAGGCTAGTGTACTAAAGTCCTATCGTGCAATGCTGAAAATATTTAAAGAACAAATTTTAAAGTTTTGTTTCTTCTTCTATTTATTTTTTAAAATATTAAAAAGGAAAAAAATCCTGTATTTTGTGCCGGTATCTGGATGCTGACCTGCAGAACAAACTCTTGCCCAGAGACTCCCCAAGAGCCATGACTGACAGAGGCTGAGTAAGGCACATCTTTCTCAACCTAAGGGCTCAGCTGGAAGTGAAGCTTGAAAACTTAATTAACTCATTTTGCTCCCTGTGTCCAGACAAATTAACCTTGACTTTTGCTGCAAACTTCAATATGGATATAGGAGTTGTGAACACCCCATGCTTGGAAGACTGAAGCTAAGCCTGTGTTGGCTGTAATTCAACATTAACTTGGCCATCGGGTTCGTACCAGCTGATGATTTTAATTGTGGTTTTGTGTGTTTCTGTGTAAAGCAGCTCTTCATGAGTCCTAGCTGGACCTGAACCACTCACAGAAGGGCAGACCCTTGACTTTGGTGGTCTTTTCTCATCTTTGATTGGCTGTACTCATCTGCTGGCTGTTTATCTGCCCCAATGCCACACAGTGCAGACCAGCCCACTTTGGAGCAGAGACGGGACCTGCTGTAGAGAGGAGGCTGAAACCACGTTGTGTCTGGGAGGATGCAGGGAGAGAAACCTGGGAGGTGCCTTTCCAGAATCCAGGCTTCAAAGACATGGCTGGATGTGGGGTATCTTGTCCACCAAGATCTGGTGTTGTTGTAACCCACACTGAGTGGATCTCAGTAGATATTGAGGCCTCTCTTGTTCCTGTGCATTGGGCTGGGTTTGACTGCTTTTGGTACAAGTCCATATGTGGGGTGTCACACGCTGCTCTGTTAAGCTCAGCTGAGCTCAGGTCTGCAGCACCTGGTGTGCCAGGCAGAATTGGCAGTGCTGCCTACCAGACCTCGAGGACTGTGACATTCAAGTGGGATGCAGCAGTGACTTATGACTTTGGTTGCTCCATCAAAGAGAATGAGAGCTGCATGGAGACACCCACCATCCAGACAGGGCTGCTAGGAGATCCCCTTCCTCCATTATCCCCTACCCAAAGCACTCTGGTGATGGGAGCATGGTTACACCAAGGCTGCATTGGGAACCCAGCTGCCTTCTCACCATCCATCTCTGACATTTCTCTCCCTTCCCCAGCTGCCATGATCCAGCTGTCCCAGGGATCCCACTTGTCCTTAGACACATGCCTATCATCACCACACCATCACTGCTTTTTCTGAGTTTCCAGCTATCCCTGCCACCCTAAGCACACTCAGCAGACATTGCAGCACAGCAGTGTTTTCCAGAGCTGTTCCCCTGGGTCATCTTTCCCCTGCCACCATCCTCCACTTACAGCTCTGTTGGCATCCCATGCACCCCATAATTTTGGGCAGGGCTGGGACTTTGTGTGTGTACCTGTGTGTCTTATGTATTAGCATCTGCTGGCCTCTTTGTATTCACACCAAGCAATGTAACATGAAAAAACATGTGTCCAAGTGAAATACTCCAATTAAAAAGCATCAAGTGGCTTGTGGGAGGCTGTTCTGCACTGTGCAGTCATGGTGACATCTCCAGGGGAGGGTGGGATCAGGGCTCCCGGGTTCTTGTTGTGGACAAGACTTCTCCTTGCACTGTGCAATTCCTGATGAGAGCAATTCCTGATTGTTCCATCAAGGGGGAACAAACCATCAGTGTACCTAGACTGGAAATTGATTGAAATCTTTTCTTTTGGTAAAAAAAACACTGAAGTCCATTGCTTGTCCTCTTTGACAAGGGCTGAATCTTCCACTCAAGTTCTGAGCTTAATCACTGCATGTAGGAAGTGTTGGGTGAAAAGTCTGTGCGTAGGGAGTCAGATGACCTGTCATGTGCTTAACAAGGTGCCAGACCTTGCTAGCTGTGAAGCAACAAAAATAGTAGCAGAGATGTGACAGTGTAAAACATTAAAGGAAACCACAGGTCCTAAGTGGCCAGGCTCTGCCTAGGCAAAGCTTCTGAGGATGAGGAGGGTGAGTACAGGGAGTTACCAGTGCATACTGGCCAAGCAGCAGCTAGATAACATGGATCAAAGAGCATTGAGGTGGCTTTTCCCAATGTACATTACAGGCAGCGGTTGGGGAACCACAGCCAAGTCCACTTGAACACCAAGGCACAGCTGAGGAGCCCATGGTGCACACCACACTTAACCCACACACACTCCCCACCTCCTACTTCTATTGCTCACATTCCTGCGTGGAGTGGTACCCACGAAAAGTTAGGAACCACCTATGTTTGCAGGGCACGGGTGAGGTGGATATAACACCATCACGCCCCATATTTCATAGATTGAGGAGCTGCTCTACAACAATTCATCAGCCTTTAGCCTTTTTCCAAAGAGGATCTTCATTTTAACATTTCTAGCATCCAAAATACTCCAAAATTACAACTTGGAAATGTTTGGGTGCTTCTCAGCACAGATGTAACTCTGAAACTTAATGCTGCCCTCTCATTGTGATCATTTCATTTAACAAAAAGGTCACATATAAGAATATATCTGTAGTAGATCAGATAGACTACTGTATTCTTTCCCCTTCCCAGTTTGCTGAAATAAGAACAAAACAGATAGGAGAGATAAAATGTATTTAAAACATCACTTGCAATTTACAAAAAAACATATTATTTCTTCAAGTAGAAAGATATGGCTTAAACCTGAGAGATGTTTACATCTCCCTTACAGAGCAGCCACTATGTGCCAGCAGCCACTGGGAGAAATGAAAATTGGAATAAATCCCAGGCTGTAGTACAGGTGTACAGACCTTCCAAGGGAAAAGCAAACACTTGGTGGAACAATTCACACACAGCTCCATCCTTCTGAAGAAAAGTGGTTCTTACAGGTCATAGTCCCAGTAGCTACATGGCCAAGACACTGAAAAGTCCTTCAGCCCCCACTTGCCCTCGCCCACAGACAAGGGGAAGAGATTGTCCTGTTAGGCTCTGTGGCAGGGCAAGAGTGGGGAAAAGGAAAACCAAAGTTGCCCTGCCTCTGTTACAGAAAGATACTGATTGTAATGAGCCAGCCAGCAGCACCTGACCATTGTGATGGGGATAGTGTGCTCTTGGGGATGGAGGACACCTGCAAGGGGGGAGGATGGGAGGTAGTGTGTGGAGAAGAGGCTGGTCTGATACGAGAAATCTGGGCACCTGAGAACGAGGAGGTCTGGAGGATGCTCAGATCTTTGCAGCATGTGTGGAAACAGGGCTTATGCGCAGCAGGAATGATTGCCCTGTGGGATGCCAGTGGTCTCGGGTAAATGGTGGCTCCATGTGGTTGCTGCATCTCACCATAACACACAGTTTTCTTCACGGCTGCAACTCCATCTGCGCTCTCCTGTACCCCAAGGATCCCTGACAGGCATGGGAATGTGAGAAAAGCTGTAGGAGAGGAAGGGTTGGTGCTCATCTCCAGCAGGGCCATGAAGGCAAATGTCTCCTCCTCACCAGGCAGATCTGAGCCCCCACCAGCTGGTCTCCCCAGCCTCATGGAGATGGCAGGTCCGTGTCCCCTCTCTGCCCACGTCAGGCCAGGACGGCAGGCATGTTGCTGAGCTCTGGAAAAGGAGACACTCAGTGAGCTACCAAACATCTGCATCTGTTCTGACAGCCACTGTGAGCAAAGCAAACAGAACCTGTTTGAAAATGCATGCAGCCCAGCTTGGGTCATTTTGTCTGGATGATAGCTGATAGCTCCATGGGTGCAGAAATGTGGTGTGTGGGAGGGTCCTCAGCCAATCCCACCCTGCCTGGCAGAACCAAGAGTTCTCAGTGCCTCCACAGGTCTCTTTTCAGAGCATTGCAGAGTAATGAGTATTGGAGGGGACATCTGGAGGTGTCTGCCCCAGTCTCTGCTTGAAGCAGGGCCAATTGGATTGAGCTGCTACAGGGGCTGAGATAACCCAGACTGCATCCCTCCTCATAACCTTCCTTACTTAAGTATGGACACTTCCATACTTAAAGTATGGACACCCACCACCAACCCACCCATCAGGATCTCAGTACTCCCACAGAGACCACCCTGAGCAGGAGGCAGCTGTTCTCCTTGCCCCACTCACCTGTCTTGAATTTGTTGTAGGAGCCACCATTCTCTATCATCGAGTTACTGTCCTCGGCAGGACAGCAGGAGAAATTCTTCTCTCGCCACCTGCATGGGGCAAAGCACCTGGGTTAGGCCACTGCCTGCTGCTGGTGTTCCTCACAGCCCCCTGCTGCCTTGGACAGCTTTTTCCTACTTTGTGAGGGCAGGTATTTTGGATTTTTTCAGGCTCTTACTGAGAAAGGACTCAAGTGCATGACTGATGTCTAAGCATCCACACTTCATGTGTGCAGCAGCATTTTGATTAAGCCCTGTTTTCTAAGCAAGAATTAAGAGCTCCAACCCCCCCAGAATGTTTACAAACACTGGTTCTAAAGCAGCCAGAGAAATTTAAAAACTGTGATTTTGGTGTGTTCATAAACCTGACAAGACCACACAGGGCACTGAGGCACTGCTAAGGCCCTTTGATCCCAGGAGGGCTGGGGATGCCCTTGCTTGGGAAATGCACACAACATGAACATGATCCTGGAGGAGCTGGACATGGAAGGTCTGATGTGTGGTGTGATGCTTTACAAGGGTGATTGTGTACCACCCTGAAACCTGTAGCCTTGAAAACAAGGGGAAAGCAGGACCTGAGGAGAGCAGAGCAGGGTAAGAGGGGAAGGAAAGGAAGGAACCACCTTGCCTTGGGAAAAACCTGGACACCCAGCAAAAATTCCCATACAGCTGCTAGTTCATCACTGCCAAACTGCTATTAATTATTTTTTTCACCATCCCAGAGCAATATTAGCACTCCAACCTCTTCCTATGCCAAAGCAAGTCACAGTTAACAGCAACCCAGAGTGCTCACTCAGGGGCTTCCCAAACTTCTTCTTATTGCCACCACCAGCATCATTGTACTGCCAGCACCCTGCAAAAAAACTCCCCTGGGGCTGGCTGCCTGATCCTCCCCACCCACTCATCTGCAGCCAGCCAGCTGAAGAGCTGAGCCCAGCACATCCTGCTTTCCTT